TGTTCAACAATCAGGCTACAATCCAAGTTATAAGGTAATGGCGTCTCTTTATTATCACATTTTTTCAAAATTGCATCCCAACATTCAGATTCAAGGGCAAATTCACCACCGAGCGGGCGCTTTGTTACCACCACAAAACAAAGATCATAAATTCCTTCAGATCTATTTCATTGGTGATTCGGAAGTTGAACTAAATCACCGCTGTCCAATTTTTACTGCAACTAAACGTGAAATTATTCAAAATGAATTGCTCAGATTGTTTAAAACCGCATTGGATATAATGCATTATGACGAACATAAAATCATTATCAGCGCTGACAAAAGACCCACTGGTAGCCATGCAAGACAATTTAATGCTCCCACTATCAATGAAGTCGCAGTGGTGATTGTTGGCGAGAATGTTGAATCACACGATATTGTTCTTAAGCGTCGGGATAATGGCCAATTGCAGCGAGTTTATGAGACTCATCGGTCTTATGATGCTCTTCAATACCCGTTGATGTTCTGTCGTGGAGAAGATGGGTATCACTTCAACATAAAGATGGTCAATCCAACGACAGGTTTGTTTAAAAGTCATCACGTCATTTTAATTCTACAACTGAGTTTGAATTCAAATTTTAGGAGAAGAAACGAATAAGAAGGTTAGCTGTATGAATTTTTATGCGTATCGATTGATGATTCGACTTGATGTTGACAATCATCTGTTAAGATACCGCCGTTTGTTTCAACAGTACTGTGTCGACATGTACGTCAAAGTAGAAACGGAACGTCTCAATTTCATTCGTTTTAATCAGTCGAAGTTGCGCTCAGACGAGTACATCCACTTGCGTGACGCCATCCCTACTGAAGGACACCCGGCCAACATCCGTTTTTTGACCATTCTCCCAGCTACTTATGTTGGAAGCCCGCGCCATATGCATGAGTATGCTCAAGATGCGATGACGTATGTCCGGAATTACGGACGCCCGGATTTATTCATCACCTTCACATGCAATCCGAAATGGCCCGAAATTACCAATTTGTTGCTTCCAGGACAAACATCCAGCGATCGACCTGACATCACTGCACGAGTATGCAAGCAGAAGATCACAGTACTTATGGATTACATTGTTAAGCAGAAGGTTTTTGGCGCAGTTCGTTGTTGGATGTACTCGGTTGAGTGGCAAAAGCGTGGCTTACCACATGCGCACATTCTGCTCTGGATGTTCGACAAGATCCGACTAGATCATATTGATTCGATTATTTCAGCCGAAATACCAGATAAGCAAACTGATCCCGAGCTGCATTCCATTGTGACAACGAGCATGATCCATGGCCCTTGCGGAGTCCACAACCCAGAGTCAGTATGCATGAAAAACGGAAACTGCACAAAACGATTTCCCCGTCCGTTGACGGCTGAAACAATCAGTGGAAACGATGGATATCCATTGTATAGGCGTCGTTCTCCAGATGATAACGGCAAATGGATCGAATTAATGGTGAAACGTAACGAAACAAACGTAACAGTAATCGTGGATAACCGCTGGATCGTTCCATATTGCCCGCTTTTGTCGAAAACGTTCTCAACGCATTGCAATGTTGAGTACTGCAACTCTATCAAATCCATCAAATACGTTTGCAAATATGTGAACAAAGGGAGCGACATGGCGGTGTTTGGCATTGCTGATCCGAATGCAAACGACGAGGTGACGAAATTTCAACTTGGAATATCCATATTTTTCACATGGCCAGCTATACGTAGCCTGTTCGCGTGTGGGAAAGCCGTCATCATTATTTATTTTTACACCGGATAACAAAACAAAAAATATTGTTTATCAGATCGCTCTCCACAGATTTCAAGTCAAAAAAATTTGTCAATCCAACGACAGGTTTGTTTAAAAGTCATCACTTCTTTTAGATTCTCAACTAATTTTGAATTCAAATTTTAGCATAAAATTTTTAGAAGATAGGAATAAGGTCAGCTCTATGAATTTTTATGCGTATCGATTGATGAGGTTTCAACAGTACTGTTTCGACATGTACGTCAAAGTAGAAACGGAACGTCTTAATTTAATTTGTTTTAATCAGTCGAAGTTGGGGCGAGATAAAGTTCGCCGGGTCCGCTAGTTTTTTATAAAATAACTACCTGCCAGAATGATCTTGTGGTGGTGTGGAATAAACATCAGAAGACCACTGAGTAAACTATTTTTTTCCTTATGTAAATAAGATCTGATTTCATATAAAAAAAAGCTATTTAGCCCAGAAAAAGGTGCCCGTTTTTTAAATCGAAAAAATCTTTCGTTTTCGATTACCGGAGCACCAATTTCTCGTTTTCAAAAACGAAAAAATCTTGCCGTTTTCGATTACCGGTGCAGGCCTGATTATTATTATTTTCTTTTTTTTTTAATGATTTATTGGTGCAAAAGTAAGAAATATATTGTAACATATAACATTCTTATTTTTATCATTAACCCAATAGTGGATATGCCCATATTGTTAGGGTACCTAGCGTGAAAAGTAGCACTCTCGAGTAGCACTCGTGTACGTGAATGCATGAACACGCATACATATAAAGAAGAATTCAAGCGCAGGGCAACCTTCTCAAGTTGCGCCACTCTGCGACTGAACTCTCGCAACCAGTGTGCGAGCATAAGAATGAGAGAGCGAAAAACCCGAGCGCACACGGAGCTACGGGGCCTGTCGTTTCGGGCGCACACGAAGTCTCTGGGGCCTGTCGCTAAGAAATTTTTGGTTCCATTTTCGTTGTATGAAATGAACAGTTTATATGTTGTATGGTTAGTGATATTATAAAGTTTACCTTCTCATCACGATATTTATGCAATTCCTTTTCTAGCGGCTAGAAAAGTGCCTCATGCGAGCAATGATATTATTTTTTTAATATCCTTTCATATTGGCTTTAAAGTATAGTACTGAGACGACGAAAATTCGCTGTAACAATTGTTGTAGCACAATCTCCATATTTTTTGCTCGTTAACCAGTGTGACCAAAGAAAATAAGGGACACTGGACAGCTGTTTGTGACCAGAAACGCAAAAACGACGAGGGAAAAAGTTCTTCTTCCTGTTTTCATAGCGTTGTTTTTTATTATATGGAGTTTGGCCTAGCGGCTATCACAATTGTAACAGCGGATTTTCGTTGTCTCAGTACTTAAAAATTATTCAACATGCTCGCATCATTTTGCTGTTTTGAGGAAATTAATTTTATGTCAATACTGAACTTTTAGCCTAGTACTCTGACGACGAAAGTCCGCTGTAAAACCTTTAATAGCGGAATCGCTGTTTATTTGGCTCGGTAACCAGTGTGACCAAAAAATAAAGGAAAAGCCATGAAAAGGGTAATACCATAGACAATACAATTAACAAGATGCCTCACGCCCATACATTCGTTTTGCAATATGAGGCTTCATTTTTGATGGCAACGACAATCTCTTGCTCTATTGTCTTTGGTAATACTGAACATCTGTTTATTGTTTATAAACAAATAAAGATATGAAGGGATTGGATTTGGTGTTTTCTTAATGTATTTCGCCGCTAAAGAGCTGAAGGAGAAAAAGAAAACTGGTCGTCGCCCCCATACAAACGATTACTTGCTTAGGAGGAACTTTTTAACATTTTCTAACTCCGCGGCAACAGCCTCCCAGGCATTATTAAGGAATATGGCATAAAAATTCCCTTTGTGGGTCAAATCCCATATTATGGGCTTCGACCGAACATATTAATGTCACTTTATCCTCGCGGGCAGAAAATTTGACGGTCCCTCCACCTCTTGGGTGTAAGAAAAAATCAAATGAATTATTGTTACACCCCGATATTAGATGTTTACTCTCTTGATCTGGCAACGCCATTCAAGCTATCATTTTCGTCGTCACTATACCTGCTAAAACGACGAGGGAAAAAGTTCTTCTTGTTATATCTACATTTTAGTCGTCAGAGTACGTAAACAAAGATGGCTGAAGCGGTCGATGTGGGAGTCAAATGAATAGTTTATCAACTATTTAGGCTGTTTAACAGCAAACCACTATATGAAAATTAATTAGATGACGGGGGAATTCGAGATTTTTTAATGATTTTATTTTTCTAAGAGCAATTTATATTACATATTACATATTTACATTTTAAATTACATATTTCAATTGTTCCTCGCTATCTTTGTTTATATTTTGGAGATTTTCATTGTTAAGAAGAAGAAATCAGAGTTTCACCGAAAAACTATCACCAACGGCGGTTTATACTGTCTTCCCACTCAGCGAATCTGTGGAGAACGGTTGGGATTTTTCGCAGATGTGAAACTGGTGTTCCCACAGAGCTGCGTCAAAGTGCATCTGCATCCGATTACAGATGATCGATCAGCTGTGTCTCATGAAAACATCAACAAAGATGAAGCGGTCGATGTGGGAGTAAAATGAATAGTTTATCAACTATTTAGGCTGTTTAACAACAGCAAAAGCACAGATTGCGTCGGATTTTATTTGCACTAAATTAAAATGAATTAGATTACGAGGAATTTGAGTTTCTGTAATGATTTTTCATTAAAATGTCCTTTGTGGGTTAAATTCCATATTATGGGCTTCCCCTTGACAGCCCCTATCAATGCCACCTTTTTCCTTCAACTTTCCCTCCATTAGGGGTGTCTAAATAAATCAAATGAATTATTTAGACAGCGCGATATCAGCTGTTTACTATCTTGATCTGGCAACGCCATTCAATTTTCGCAGGCTTCATTTTCGTCGTCAGAGTACCGGAAAAAACGACGTGGCTAAAAGTTCTTCTTATTTTTTCGACACAGTTTTTTTTATATGGAGTTTGGCCGCTGTCTAAATTTATACAGCGGATTTTTCTCGTCAGAGTACAAGATTTAAGATCTATTATCCTATATTAGAAAAAAGCTTCTAAAAAAATTTGTATTTCTGCAGAGCAATTTCAGCGAATTTTCTGAAGATGTAAACGTTACATTATGGTAATATTAACCGTGCAAGCGTTTCTTTGGTATTTTTTAGTGAGTTTTTCTTTTCATCCAATGTAGGTATTCGTAAATGCTACTCCCACACAACGCATTGAATAGACCGAAAAATGTTCGCGTTACGTGCTGCCGCCAAAGCCGATAAAAGTTTGCTCCCCATTTTGGGACAACTATGTAAGTAAAGAATACATTATTTTTCTTAATATTACTTATTTGGGACGATGTATAAAAACAGAGTAACCTAAATTCCATAATAGCTTGTAGTCTCAAACTAAAAAAGCTAATAATCGAACATAACCTTAATATGATGTGCTGCTATTACGACGAACAGAATTGAATTGATTGCATAACAGTTTAACTTTTACTAGTTAATTTTGTCAGTTTATAAGACATTAGTAGTATGTGGAAAATACGTGTTTTATTATAGTATATATAATTAATGCTTATATTTTCATTAAATTGATTTTTAAATGATTTTAAACTGAATAATCTTGCAGAAAGTATGAAAAAATATATGTACATTCTTATATACAGATAGTTAACAGTCCCGCTTAATTTCTTTATTTTTTATATTTGTGGGTAATTTTGTTCCCGATTTTATATATGACGTAATGATAACATTAGTAAATGTGTATTTAAATGTGTACGTAATTTCAGGCAGACATTTTTAATGGTTTAAGTAATAATTTCACTAAAAGTTTTAATTAAAACTTATTAAGGTACAAAAGCTTAAGGTTTATCAAAATCCTGTCCAGACAATGTGTATAATCCGGGATGCGATGAAAATGTACTTTTGTGTTAACGACCTTTACATATCTGTAATTTCTAGCTCGTGGTTATGCTGCTAAGGCCGCAGCTAAGGCTGCCGCCGGTGCCAATGGCAAGATTGTGGCCGTAATTGGCGCTGTCGTTGATGTCCAATTCGATGACAATTTACCGCCAATCTTAAATGCCTTGGAAGTGGACAACCGTTCGCCACGTTTGGTCCTTGAGGTGGCTCAGCATTTGGGTGAGAATACGGTGCGAACAATCGCCATGGACGGCACTGAGGGTTTGGTTCGAGGACAGAAGGTCCTCGATACTGGTTATCCCATTCGTATTCCCGTTGGCGCGGAGACCTTGGGACGCATTATTAATGTCATTGGTATGTTACATCTCATTGTATTTGCAAAAAAATATTAATATTCATTGTTTTTTTAGGTGAACCAATTGATGAACGTGGTCCGATTCCCACGGACAAAACAGCTCCCATTCATGCTGAAGCTCCGGAATTTGTAGAAATGTCTGTAGAGCAGGAGATCTTGGTAACCGGAATCAAGGTCGTTGATCTCTTGGCTCCATATGCCAAGGGTGGTAAAATTGGCTTGTTTGGTGGTGCCGGAGTGGGCAAAACGGTGTTAATTATGGAACTGATTAACAATGTGGCCAAAGCTCATGGTGGTTATTCAGTTTTTGCCGGCGTTGGTGAACGTACTCGTGAGGGCAACGATTTGTACAATGAAATGATCGAATCCGGTGTAATTTCTCTGAAGGATAAGACCTCTAAGGTGGCTCTTGTTTATGGCCAGATGAATGAGCCCCCAGGCGCTCGTGCCCGTGTTGCTCTTACTGGTCTGACTGTTGCAGAGTATTTCCGCGATCAGGAGGGACAGGATGTGCTCCTCTTCATTGACAACATTTTCAGGTTCACTCAGGCTGGTTCCGAAGTGTCTGCCTTGCTTGGACGCATTCCTTCTGCGGTGGGCTATCAGCCAACATTGGCCACTGATATGGGTTCCATGCAGGAGCGCATTACCACCACCAAGAAGGGTTCGATTACTTCGGTGCAGGCTATCTATGTGCCAGCTGATGACTTGACAGATCCTGCTCCAGCCACCACTTTTGCCCATTTGGACGCCACCACTGTGCTGTCGCGTGCCATTGCCGAGTTGGGTATTTATCCGGCTGTGGATCCTTTGGACTCCACCTCTCGTATCATGGACCCTAACATCATTGGACAGGAGCACTACAATGTGGCTCGTGGTGTTCAGAAGATTTTGCAGGACTACAAGTCCCTTCAGGATATTATTGCTATCCTGGGTATGGACGAGTTGTCGGAGGAGGATAAGCTGACTGTGGCACGTGCAAGGAAGATTCAACGTTTCTTGTCACAGCCCTTCCAGGTCGCTGAGGTCTTTACCGGCCATGCTGGCAAGCTGGTTCCTCTGGAGCAGACCATCAAGGGTTTCTCTCAGATCCTAGCTGGAGAGTATGATCATTTGCCGGAAGTGGCCTTCTACATGGTGGGACCCATTGAGGAGGTTGTGGAAAAAGCTGATCGGCTGGCAAAGGAGGCCGCTTAAAAATAAAAAAAAACCCAGCCGAATGTTTAAATAATCGATAAACTAAATTTGGATTGAATTTGTACAACTGTATGACATTAATCAATTCGCTTAATAAACAACTTAATAAATCGTATTTAAACCTTATTTTCGAATTGGTTTTTAGTATTAAACAAAGGAAACTAGCTTCTTCACGCCGAAGTTTATATACACTATAATTTTCGTCAATTTGAAAAAAAAACAATAGGAGATATTCAATTGTACAATTATTCAATTTTATTGAATCTCAAAACAAGAAATGTAAAGTTCTCTAAAATAATTTTTTTTTAACATAGTTGGGAAATGCTCCAATTCATCAAATTTAAGCAAACGCGTTTTTTCATTATTTTGGTGAATAATGTAAATTTTTAAGATAGGGAATGTTTTGATTTGATAACAGCTTCCTAAACAGAGGTATCATGCTATGACTTTATTTTCGTACAGTAACCGAAGTTTGCAAGAGTCGAAGGGAATCGTATATCCCATGCGACAGAGATCTTGAAAAATAACAATTGCCCAAAATTGATCTTAGCACCAGTTATAGTGCTAACAAAGAGCTAAAGATTTAAAATTTTATAAAATCAACAAAAATGGTCATGTCTCAAGGAAGATAAAAATATAGTAAAAATGAAAAAATAATTGTCATACCCTTGTAGGGAATTATAGATTAGTTTTCAAATGAATGAAGTATTTCCGACACTATAAAGAAAATATATTCTCGATCACCTTGCAACAGCCATACCAGGATCAACACGGCAGTTTACGCCCACATTATAGGATCGGAAATGAGTCTATCAGGGAATTAAAAACTTCTAACTAAAATTATAATATCCTGCAAGGGTATAATAGAGGAAAACTACTCAGTTGTTCTTATAAAATAAATCTATTTTTTAATTTTTGGATTATTTCTACGGCGGCGTTAGTCGTCCGATTTGGTCAATTTATTAATATACTGCCTTCCAATGAAAGAATATCTGCACACTTTCATTCACATTGATCAAATTTACGTAGAATCGGACAGACGGATATGTTCTGATCGGTTCATCTGTTGGTAGTCACGATGATGATGCTGTGTGGTAAGTAATAACTTATACAATTTCCTTTAAATTTTCTTTATTTTTAACATAATGTTATACACTTTATATTGTTTCTTGCATATATTCCTTCGTAACGCATCTATGAACCAGAAATCTGTAAATGAATAAGTTCATATTGAAATATAGGGTATACGTTACATCTGAACATTCACACCACTTTTTTCATTTAATTATCGAATTTTTTATTACAAATTTAAATATTTTTCATCCGCACGTCTCTCAGTTCACTTCGTCGTTGAATAAAGAGTTGAAGAAGGGATTTAGACTTTTTACAGCAACGCCTGTTAGAAAAAAAAATACATAAAAGTTGCATATTATCAGCAATTTTTATTAATTTCAAACATTTACCTTTGCCAGCTGACTGATCCTTTGAATCGCGCCACTTGCATAACGACTCCTTTTGTATTACATATGCATCATATAACTCTCCAAATAGTTCGCTTAGTAATCCTGTTAAATATTTAATTTAATTAATGAAATGCCGACCGTGAATATTTTTCATACCCCTCGGATGCTCCAAACTATGCACTAATAGCTGCATCGCATACAAGCACTCCAATTGATGATCTTCATTCGAATCAATGTAGCGCTGCAAAACTGGTATGCAAAACTTCTGGAAGGTCTCGGTTTCTAGTTTATAACTATTCTCCTTGTACAAAATGGAAAAGTTGCTCAGCGATTCCGTTAAGCTTCTTATAAACAGTTTATCAACGACCATGATGTTGCCCTTCAATGTGGTGAATGAATAAACTGAATTATATTAAAGGAATAAAATGAAGAGGTAATTGCTTACATTACTATAATCAATGATACAATCTGCCGTTGTTCCTTCCTTTAGCAAATGCTCAATATGCTCTATCACATTTTTAACGTGCTTTTCAGTCGATTCACCGCGATGTTCTATCACTGGCGATATCGATTCATTTTCCACATACTCCAGTCTCTAAAGTGAATATAAAAGTATAGATAATTTAAATAAAATATTTCGCCACATTAGGAAATGTTTTAAAATAACAACATTTACATTTGATTTGATGAAGTCGTTAACTTCATTCTCTGGCATAAAATCAGACCAATGCAAGCTGAACTTTGTCCACATGCTGCGCGTGAAATTTGGTCCAACTTCATGCGTGCAATAAATCAAATATGTTTTAAGGAACTTCTTGGCCACACTTGATGGGCTGTTGTCTTTTAGGTTCTTGTTCCACAAATCTGATACGGTTAAAACTTTCTTCACAATTAATGGACCTGTAAAAAAAAAGATTAATATGTAAGATTGTATCTTTAAAAGTAGTATAAATTAATCAAAAGATCATTGTTATCGATAAACGTTACCTGCAAATTGTAGAATATATAGCCATAGCTCTGGTATATCAACAATTAAATCATTGGCATACTCGCTAAATTCGTTGTACGCCAGCGTAAAGTGCTCCACCGAAATATAGTTATGTTGAATTAATTGGGTCACAGTTATGCCCAGATATCGGCGAGACTGTTTGCCCACATTCGCTAAATGCAAATAATCGGTTAATATATAATATAGAAAGCCGCAACGACGATCCTCCGGTATCCTCTTCATACACTCGACAACCGCAGGTGTTACGGTTTTCGCTGCATCTGCCAATTCAATCATTTCAGAGACAACCGACTTGGTTAGCTTAAGATCGGCATCGCTTGCTTCTTGGAACACTGCAGGAGGGGCGGAGACAGCAGTTCGATTGCTTTGCTGGGGGAACGTCGTCGCTGGAGTCGCAACTAAGCCTGATCCTTGCTCATTGCTCGCGCCACGGTAAATTCCACGTTCTGCGTTGGAGCCGGAGTTTGATTGTACCTAAAATAGTTTAAAAATTTATGTTGATGTTACTTATATCCTTGCGGAAAATAATAATTGTTTTGTAAGTTAAGGTAATATAAGTTCAATGTCTTCCTAACGCTAGAAAATTTAAACTGTTTGGCCAGTTACAGTTTTACACTCGCAGCTTTACATTTTTCTCTATATCTACCGATCATATCTATGATAGCTATATGATATAGTCGTACGATCCGGTCAGTTATGTAACCGTGAGAGTTGTCAGAAGACTATATGCACAGTTTCATTCCGATAGCTTTAAAACTGAGCGATTGGTTTGCGTAGGAACGGACAGACGGACATGACTAAATCGACTCGACTGTTGATGCTGATCAAGAATATACAGCTGTGTTCACGGAAATAGCAGTGCGACAGAGGAACAACTTCAAAACGTTTTTTTGTACATATTCCTTTTTGCAAGCTGATCTATTGCACATTGTTTTTGTAAAATGGAACATAAAGATAAGAATCGAGAAAAAATTCCGTTAGATTTGCTCTATTTTTATGTTTTATTGATATTTTTTCACATATGCAGCTCGTTTTGGCCGATCACTGAAATAGCAGTTTTTAATTTTCTTTCGCAAAAAGTGCCGAAATTTCTTTTAATTTTGTAAAAAATTACTTTAATTAAGGTCGTTATTATAGTTTATACTATAATACACCTTTACAACGAAAAAAAATTATTTTAGTGGGCGCAGGACCTCACTGCTCCATGAGAGAAAGATATCAGATAATTTAGCCTAGAAAGAAGGGGAAAACATGTAAAGAGTCTCCAAATCTTTCAAATTGTTCTTTTAAAATAGTTTATAAGTCATAAAATATGAACCGAACCCAAAAAAAACGGGGTACGATTCGCAAAACCCCAATTGTACAGGCTCGACGCGTACTTCGCTTCAGCAAAGCTCGTCCTTTTGCATCCTCTAGGGATATATGAGCGGGAATTGGCATGGGAATCAGTCATGGGGCCATTCGCCGGGGACTTATTGAATAAATTTTAGATTCGCGAAGTCCATGGAAAATGTCACTGCTTGGTTATAGGCATATCAAGGCCAGATTGGAGTTCGCCAATAGCCCCTTGAACTGCCACTTTTCAAATGGCGTAATATCCTTTGGACAAATGACTCCAAACTGGTTTTATTTGGTGGAATAGGACAAGACAATATGTCCGTCGACCCCCAAATAGATAGTACCCCCCAAACCATACGCTGAAGACAGTAAAACACGGTGGCCTAAAAATCATGGTATGGGTATACTTTTCATACAACGTTTTAGGTCCCGTAAATATGATCGGTGGGATCAAAGACCATTATGTTTATGTCTAAATATTAAAAACTGTCTTGCAGCCGTATCCTGAGGAAAATATGCCATTAATTTGGACATTTCAGCAGTACAGTGACCCTAATCATACCATCAAGGTAGCCAAGGAGTGGGTTCTTAATGAAAAAGTGGATGCAATGCCATGGCCTGCACAGTCCCCGGATATAAATCCGATCGAAAACTTATGGGGGACATCAAGGGCTACTTATTAAAGAAGTTTCCGACTTCTAAGATGCAGCTTTGGCAATTTGTGCAGGAGGAATGAGGCCATATTCCCCTCAAGCATTGCTAAGACTTGGTGGACTCCATGCCACCCAGGTATGAGGCTATGATAGCTTCTAAAGGCTATTTAACAAAATATTAGATCATAGTCAATTGGAATTTAAGAAGAAATAGGTTTCTTATACGATATTTTTAAATTTATGAAGAATTTTAGTTTTTCACTGCTATTTCAATGATCGGCATAATATAGACCTTTTTTGTTGTTATTAGCTATATCTTCTAAAAGGTTTATGTTACCTAAATTAAATGATTGTGGTATTGTTAATAATTAAATATACTAAGCTTTTATGAAAAAAAAAATTTATGAAAATAGTGTTTGTAACAGGATTTTCCGATCTTAAACGTGCAGGTCGTTGGGCACTGCTATTTCCGTGAACACAGCTGTATATACTTTATAGGGTCAAAAATGTCTTCATTACAGGATTTCAAATTTCTGTCTAAAATTATAATTATAATACCCTGCTAGGGTTTAGAAATCGAAAATGGCCACACAATATACTTAATTGTATATTAAGCTACAGTATAAATATCAGCCATAGCTGCTGTGGCTTTCGGCTAACTAATTAGAAAGATTTTACTTTTGAGTGGAAATTTGTCATATTTTCAATTATTTTTCAACCATGTTAGCATATTTATATTTATAATACCATTTATGATTTGTATTAGCTAACTTTTTGTTTTGCCAGACCATAATATGTTTAAAAAGCCTAAAATATAAAAATTTTGCCAAAAAATCTGATTTAGATAAGAAAGATGCACCGAAACACTCAAAAAATAACGGTAAAAGTGCAAGTGGAAAAGGATTTGCCTACATTGTGGAGTGAATATGAAGTACAATTCTTGCTTGAGCTATGTTACATTTCTTTCGCTTGTTATCCAATTTAAAAGAATTCAGCCAAATAGCTTTAAAACTAAATATATATAAACAAATTTTTTTGCAACATTTCGAACTGCATGCGGCTTAAAAATAGGTCCTTTATGAATTTCATAAAATAATATGACTGGATTGAGATTAAAATAAGAATAAATTAATACATTTTGAAACTGTGCCAAGAAATATGGTTATTTTTCTTTAATAATATTATTTTAAAATATATGAAAAAGAATAATAAAAAAAAAATACCCTTGTATAAACGAAAGCTTAATTTAACAATATAAAAGTATAACTATACAAAATTGTTTCTGTTAAAGTATGCAAGCTGAACGTTTCATATTCGATAACCGATGATCCATTTCCATTTCTAGTATAATGAAGTATGGTCTCTTTATTATCCTCCTCCTATGTTCACTCCTTCGCAAGCCATCAAACTGAATAAACGTATGTCGCTTAAGTTCAAGTCTGGTGTTCTCCTTTTCTAACGCGTGTGTCGCGTACGGTTTTACTCACGTATTAGGCCCTTATATTTATCCACGAACATAACCCCCAACAGTTTCATTTAAATGCTGGATACGCCTGGTAATGACGTTTAATATTCAGCTTTACAACTATACCAACAGTTTAATTCATCACTGTAGGACATTGAAATTTTTAAAAGTTGATATTGATATCAACTCTAGCTTATATGTCTACTCAAAAAATTATAATCTGCACATGAAAGCACATAGTGATTACGTTCTCGAAAAGTTTTGCAATAGCCGACAACTTAGATATTCCTCCAAATTTTGTGGAGAGGAATGGATAAATTCGGAGGCTTCTAAGATAAGGCACGCAGCCCGGTGTTCTATAGGGACTGTTACCGCCGTAAATTAGATACCGAATCTTTAGCCGGGCGATAAAAGGTGTGACCATTGAGTTTCTGTTCACCCAAAAATTAAAGGAATTTTTTCCTGGAAATGTATCTGGCCACTTGAGAAAGCACCGGCCTGGGATAAAATACAAAGTTTTCTAAAGCTGCGCATTTTTTTGTAAAGCTTAATGAAATTAATAAAGTGACTGCTAAATAAATTTGTCGAACTATTAATAACTCTACGCCAATTATCCTTGTTCTCAACAGGGACCACGATGAGGATTTCGTTCAGGACTGAAGATTAGGCTCGATCTGGGCATAGCAAGAGTATGTGGTTGTAAAAAACTCAGCAAACAGATCGGCGATGACCTGATCAGAGTTTGCTGTAGAGTTGTTAAATGAAAGGAAGAAAGGATATACATTGGGTTTACGTTTAGTTTTAACAAAGTTATTAAACTGTTTCGGGTCCTGCGTGAACTGAACCCTACCGTGAGTCAAATAATTTTTATAACACTGAGCGTTGAGCACGGTAAAGTTCGACCGAGCGCCAAGATGACTAGAGGGAGCAGTAAGAGAACCGATATTTATTATAAAGCCTAGACTTTATATTTTTTAGGCGTGTCAGCTCCTTAGTGAAGGATTAACGGAACACAAAAGTACTGTTCTTGCCTTTCAAAATCAGTTATTTTTTATATTTTAAAAATATTATATATTATGTTATATAACTGCTATCGGTCAACTTATGTAAGAGTCAGGGAACTGTTATTTCAATGTCCAATTGGCAAACTGCAAGGGTATACAAACTTCAGCGTGCCTATAATAAACCAAGAACCTTACCTTATTGCTAGTGTTGTGACGAACCGAAGTCGGCAGCTGTTGTTGCGTATATTTTGTATGACTAGCAGACTTTTGGACTGCAGAATTCATTAGGCTCCGACCTCCTCCCTGCTGACGCGAGGAGGAACTCTCGCGTGATCCTTGCGATGAGCCAGTTCGCGAATTGATACCTTAATTAATTATTTATTTCGATATTAGTTTAAATTCTATAACTAAAGCAATAAATGAATAATACCTCGATCGTAACGATCACGCTCCATCGATCCCTTGCTATAGGAACCCTTATTCCTCGGTCCACGATGATCGTGATGATGATCCCGGTCCCGGTCCCTGTCGCTGCTGCTACTGTTTTTATCAATTAACGAGGACAGAACAGCGAAGGGATTTGAAGGTGTTGACGATGGTACCGCAGAAGCCGCTGATGACGATGATTGCCTTGTATTATTGTTCCAAATAAATTGAGTTAAGCCGCCCATTTTTTTCGTTTCCAAATTCTGATCAGAAAGTTTTGACTGTCAAAATATAAATTATGTATGAAAAAAATAATAAAATAACAATAAATGGTAACTTACCAGACCCTCTAATTTATTGCTGTCAACAGCTTGAGAACGACTACCTTTGCTCGTTTGTACATGCCAAGTATTGTCATCGTTATTTCCTCCATTTGAAGCGCCTCCGGAGCCTCCTCCCCCGACACCACCTCCTCCAGCGTTACTCTGCTGTTGATGATGTCCACGCTGACTGTGACTTCCACCGTAATTACTACCGGAACGTGTCTCATTTCCATATCGGGAATTCAAATTACGATCATCACGTTTATTGGAACTTGCACCGCTCTGCGATGGTCCAATTGACGTAGAATTCCCGGAAATATTGCCAAAATACTGTGCAGTTAGCTGTTCATTCTTGGCCTCTTTCTCAATTTGGCCCATTGTCTTCGGAGCTTCGTTTCGAGTCGTTTGCCATTTATTTTTGCGTAAATCGATGACATCTTGAAGCATGAATCGAACACGGGAGCTGACTTTAGCACCATCCTTATCGGTTTTAGCAGCAATGGCTTGCATTCTGGATATAGATTTTTCTAAGGAATAACAACGTCCTGGATCTTTGGAGTTGACAGGAGTTTGCTCGAACTTGGCGCCTACTGTTGTTAACAATTTGCAGAGACACTCTAGCATGTCCTCCGAATGGGGATTGAGTAATGTATCAATGCAGGAATAAATAATTTTACCAGTCAACATGGAGATTTTAAAAAGTTCACCTATGAAACGAACAGTTCCACCAGATCTCCGACGTATTTTTCGTTCTTCCTCCTCTAAAAAGGCTTCAAGTTCAGCCTTCTCATTTGGATCGCTGCATTTCCGAATTTTATCTACAATTGGCTGTAATTTTTTCTCCTTGGCCGTACTCTGTGAGACGTTTTGAGTGAATTCACGTTCTGTTTTATCCAATAAAGCATTTCGAAAATGTGCCAAATTGGACTTTGTTCCACTTTCCATCCGTTCATCGCGGGCTTTGACTTCGGATATGAGACGATGACAGAGTCGAGCGTAGGAAACCGAAAAATTTGGTTCATCAATGGCTTTTTCAAAGACCAGCACTATAACTTCGTCCATTTTATCGGGGGTATCGATTTTTAATTTAATTATTTCCTCAACTAGAGTATCAAATCTCTCGGGAGTTAGTTTATTCAAAATACCACGAACTCGTCTTACCAAATCATCCTTTTCTTGGGTGGCCTTCAAGTTACTATCAGTCTCTGTTGCCGATGATTTATTCAAGAGTCTCGGACGCCAGGCATTTTCGTTCTCGTTTAATTTAACATCTTGATTTAATGAGAGGTTAACATGAATCATCATGCCCTTCATGCTGCTATTTCGGCCACCAGAACCTTGACTTTGGCCATGAACACCGGACATCGATAGCTGTTTTCCCATATAACCTCCTGCTGATGACTCCCGATTGCCGATCATGCCGACCATTGATTGTACTCGCTTATTATTATTATTCCGAATAAAGGATGGCATAAGATTGGGTTGCGGAAGTATAGACACATTTTTAACCTCGGGCTGTATGCGCGAGGCTTTGGCTTCGCGTAATTGCATTAATTGTTCGCGATTGTATTGTTTTTTTCCATCCGGATTACTTGGTGACCATTGACCTTCATTGTAGTTAATAAAGGACGATGAAATCTTTTCTTTTTCTTCGGAACAGGGGTTAATATTGACTTCTACTGAATCATTCTCCGGGGAATAACTTTTTTCTGAAGGAGTGTCTACAGGAGTTTCTAATTGTTCTTGTGCAGCTTTTACTGTGTTTTCTGAAGATTCAACAGCTTGCACTTTCTCCTGTAAAGGAAGAACAACTTCTTTTACTGCCATCGATGATACCTCTGACAGATCAGTTTCATCTGATTGCTCTTCTTCACTTGTATTCTTATCTAAGCATTTTTTTTCTTCTCCAATGTCAACGAAAACTGTTGGTTCAGAGTGCAGAGTGTAATCTTTTAAAACTTCAGTCGGATTTTCAACTTCATTACTCTTCTTGATTTCAGACTCATGAATATTCTTTGCTAACAATTCTTCTTCGGTTGATAGGTTTTTTTCTTCTGTCAGAAATTCGCTAGATGTTGTTTCCGGAGCTACTAAAGCTGCTTCTAGAGATCCAACAGGTGTTACAACATTATCTGTTGTTATCTGAGTATTCGCTGCCAATATCGATGCCGATTGTTTCTCTTCGACAGCGATAAATTTAGCATTAATCAGATTTTGCTTTGTTGGCTGCTCCCTGGCCTTTGATTCAGCAACATCTTCGGTTTCAGCTACAACATATGAACGAAATAACATTTAGACAAAAGATAAAGCTAACTTCGGCACGCCAAAGTTTGTATACCATATACATTTTTAATTGGTTTAATTTGTATATTTACAGGTTTACAGTTACGCTGTAATCCTAGTACTAACATAAGATAAATTTTCTGAAAGCAGCCCAGCTACATATAAAACAAAAAAGGAAGCTAATTTCGGCACTCCAAAGTTTGTGTACCCTTGCAGTTAGCAATTGGATCATTAAGAATCGACCCATTCTGGTCAATTTAAAAGAAAAAAAAAGGAAATATAATAAAGTTGTATACTTATACCTAGCATATAATTATTTTACTTTGATAAAATTAAAAAAAGCTTACTCGTATAAGAAAAACTAGGTATATAATAATATAATACCTAATTAATAAACATAAATTCATTTTTTACATTTTACATAAACTTATTATATTTACAGTTTGACAGTTACAGCTTAAAATTTTCTGTTCTTCTTCTATGACAGCTATATGATATAGTCGTCAGATTTTTATAAAATTAAAAACAAAATTCTAAAAAAAAATGGCATATCTCAAAAATTTTGAAAATATATTGAAAAACAGCAAAGTTATAATTTTTTCAAAAATTTGTCGATCATTTCTATGGTAGATATAGTCGTCCGATCTGGCCCGTTCCGGCATATATAGCAGTGAGAGTATTCAGATGGCTATATGCAGTTTCATTTAGATATCTTGAAAACTGAGGCACTGGTTTGGGTAGAAACGGACGAACAGATGGACATGGCTGAAATGTCTCCTTCACTGCGTTGCAAACCTCTGACTGAAATTATAATACCCTGCAAGGGTATAAAAGCTGAGCGACGAGAGGAAAAATAACTTTTCGCTTTCCCGGGTACTAACGTAAGATAAATGTTGAGAGCGAAAAGGCTAAAATCGTTGTCAAATCAAAAAACTAAAGCGAAAAAAATTAATTAATAGCTTTCGAAAGCAAACTATGGAAGGAAAATATAATACAAAAAAAATGTTCTAGAGTCGTCTGATCCGGCTCGTTCCAACTAGTGAGGGTAGTCAGAAGAATATATGCAAAGTTTCATTCAGATAGCTCAAAAACTGAGTATAAAGTTTGCGTAGAAACGGAAAGACGGACGGGCATGGCTAGATTGACTCGGCTGTTGATGCTGATCAACAATATATACTTAATAGGGTCGGAAACGACAGTGCGTGGCATACTTTTAATTAAAACTACCCTACAAGCGTATAAATAGGATTTTAAAGGCTTTTCTGTTTATAGTCCTGGAACAAAATTAATTTGTTTTGATAAACAGGACTAGGTGAAAAGCTTTTATTGTACCACTTTTAGGGCTTTCCGTTTGCTTAGCGAAAAAATTCGAACTCAAACAATGTGTATAGAATTTGGTACGATTAATGTTAACAGGACTAGTTAAAAAGAACAAATTATTGAACTATTTCTGTTTTTGACACTAAGTTTTAAAATAAGTTAAATTGTGTAAAATTGATTTTTGGAGTTGAAGGAGCAGAGCTATCAACACTTTTATCTTTACCTCGGTAAGAAGTGTTTTTGTTATTTACGGTTAGTTCCCAATATCGAAAAAGTTTGAATAAAATGAATATATTATCAAATTTTTTAGTTTACTTTTTCCATATATGTATAATACTATTATTGTAAATATTATAAGTATTTTATTTATTATAACACAATTTTCCACACATTTTCAGTAGACACGAACAGAAAAAAGCTTTATATATTAATAATAATATGTGTCTTTAAGAATGTGCACTATTATAGTCGCTAAAGATAGACATATACATAGGTATATTTATATATGTATCAATTAATGACTCATTTCTAGCACACGACCACGTCGATCCACTAAATTAAACAGTAAAATAAATAAGTGAACAGGGAATAGAGCTTTCTTTTAGACAAATAGTTTTCAAGCAGCAACCGATTCTCTACACATCATACATACTTCGTCTATTACAACTGTTAATTCTACAAACACAAATTCACACACTAATTTCATAAAATTAATGAATAACAAGAAAGGAAGCTAACTTCGGCACGCCGAAGTTTGTATACCCTTGCAGATTGGTTTTGAGGTTTATATTATAGATTTAAATGCTGAAAACACTCACAAAACAGAGTTTCATTACATGTTACCTATACTTATTATGTTTACAGTTTGACAATTACAGTTTTACATTCCCAGTTTTACATTTTCTCTACATCTACCGATCGGTTTATATGGCAGCTATATGATATAGTTGTCCGATTTTTATGAAATTTATAACATAATTCTAGAATAATAAAAAAAGCTTATATCTCAGAGTATTTAAACATACGTTGAAAAACAACGAAACTATAATTTGTTTTCCTATTTATTTCTCGACCGTTCCTATGGCAGCTATATCATATAGTCGTCCGATTTTCATAAAATTTTTACCAAAATTCTGAAATATTATAAAATGGCCATACCTAAAAAATGGTGCAAAAATGTTAAAAAACAGCAAAGTTATAATTTTTTTTCTACAAATATATCGAACATTTGTATGGCAGCTATATGATATAGTCGTCCGATCCGGCCCGTTCCGACATATATAGCAGTGAGAGCATATAGAAGACTATATGCAAAATTTCATTCAGATAGCTTTAAAACTGAGGGACTAGTTTGCGTAGAAACAGACAGACAGACAGACAGACAGACAGACAGACAGACAGACAGACAGACAGACAGACAGACAGACAGACAGACAGACAGACGGACATGGCTAGATCGACTCGGCTGTTGCTGCTGATCAAGAATATATATACTTTATAGGGTCGGAAACGTCTCCTTCACTGCTTTGCAAACTTCTGACTGAAATTATAATACCCTGCAAGGGTATAAAAAGCCTATTAAGAAATTAAAAATTCTCTTTTATTTGGACTATGTAAATATGTACGTATTTGTAAACATACATATGTAAGTAAAAACAGGTAACTAATTGCGCGGCGTTTGATCCACAATATGTACATGAACCACATCATTCACATGGTACAGTGATACAACAATTTGAAAACAAGAATGTAACAAGAAAAGAAGCTTTCGGCGCGCCGAAGTTGTTAAACCTTGCAGTTTGCAATTGGATCTTTAAGAATCTATCCATTTCGGTAAAATTAATAGAAAACAAGAAAGGAAGCTAACTTCGGCACGCCGAAGTTTGTATACCCTTGCAGATTGGTTTTGATGTTTATATTATAGATTTAAATGCTGAAAAGACTCACAAAACAGTGTTTCATTACATTTTACCTATACTTATTATGTTTACAGTTTGACAGTTTCAGTTTTACATTCCCAGCTTTACATATTTTATAAAATTACCAATCGCTTCTATGGCAGCTATAAGATATAGTTGTCCGATTTTAATGAAATTTATACCAAAATTGTAGAATAATAAAAAAAGCTTATATCTCAGAGTAGATAAAAATACGTTGAAAAACAACGAAGCAATAATTTTTTTCCTATTAATTTCCCAACTGTTCCTATGGCAGCTATATCATATAGTCGTCCAATTTTTATAAAATTTTTACCAAAATTCAATAATATAAAATCGCAATATCTAAAAAATGGTGCAAAATTGTTGAAAAACAGCAAAGGTATAATTTTTTTCTAAAAATTAATCGAACATTTGTATGGCAGTTATATGATATTGTCGTCCGATCCGGCCCGTTCCGACATATATAGCAGTGAGAGTATATAGAAGACTATGTGCAAAGTTTCATTCAGACAGCTTCAAAACTGAGGGACTAGTTTGCGTAGAAACGGACAGACGGACATGGCTAGATCGACTCGGCTGTTGATGCTGATCAAGAATATATACACTTTATAGGGTCGGAAAGGTCTCCTTCACTGCGTTGCAAACTTCTGACTGAAATTAAAATACCCTGCAAGGGTATAAAAAACGGAATATATAACAGTTGTGTACTTATACATAGCACCCATACTTATTATATTTACAGTTCGACAGTTACAGTTTTACACTCGCAGCTCGACATGTACATCTACCGATCGTTTCTATGGTAGCTATATAATATAGTCGATTATCATAAAATAAAACTTACTCTTAATTATTTGCATTTCTTATTATTTCCGAATTTCGGGTTTAAATTTTTAAAAATCGGACTGCAAAACATGTAGCTGCCAAAGAAACGATCAGAGCATGTAGAAAAGAATGCAAAGCTGTGAATGAACTTTTATAATAAAACTGTAAATATAATATGTATTATTTAGATTATTGAAATTTAAAATTTGTATTTATTTCGTTTAGTTTAGTTATTTTATACGATTTAAAAATAATGTTTATATATTTATCTTTAGTACATCTCCGGTTAGTTCTGTGTTAGTTAGTGATTAAATTGCGAACTGCCAGGGTTTACCAAGTTTGGCGTGGAGAAGTTATTTTCCTTTCTTGTTTTATTTCCCTAGTTTGTAAGAAAATTTATAGCGAGCTGTTCAATGCTATTTATTAGTGTTTGGGAATTTAAAACTAAATCATTATTTACTATTATAACAAAATAAAAGATGCTATTTAAGTAATAAATTTTTTTATTAATATACGTTTACTTACTTGTAGGTAGTGCAGAAGTAGAGTCAGAGACATTTTTAGGAGGCACTATGGGTATTCTAAGGAAATGGTTATTTTAACGTTAGGTTCTTCATTATATTCATTAAAATATGGTATAATAACTATTGAACAAGTCTCAAAAATTATAAAAATAAAAACGGCTTACTTTTTGCTTCTGGTTTTTTGAGGTGTTGGCAATATTTCTACTGATGGGGCATCTGACATGGCAGATACAATTGGAGTTTGACCTACAGCATCTGGACGTTGTATTGTTATTGGTTCTGAAGTATACAAATATAAAATATATATACAATACAATATATTGATAAAGCCGTGCTAACTTAGAACTACAACAAATAATATTCTGCGACGGTTTAAGCTTACCCATTGGGACATTGTAAGGCTGCGCATTAGTTCGTATATCGTTGGATCCGAGTGCTGGTAAATTGCTTAAATTGTGCTGATGTATTATTCCAACACCACCATCTTGCTGAGGAATCCGAGCTATATGAGCTTCAGTAAGAACTGCCGCAGTCGTTGCCGCTGTCTGCTGCTCATTAGAGAAGTCATTTTCTGTGTTTGAATTTGACTGTAAAGTAGACAAGAAATAGTTTCAAATATGTAAATTTTTAGATGCGATCGTAACTTTAACTATAACTCTTGCTTTTAATAAAAACTTTTTACTCCGTACCTTATCAAGATCTTCCAATATATTTTTCTTTGTTGTTGGATCAATTATGGGTAAGCGATGCTGATGTCGTCTTCGATTCGACTGCTGCACTTGCACTTGGACCGGTTGAGGCGCGACGACACTCTGCGACATGACGCCAACTCCAACCATGGGAGCCACACCCACCCCAACTTGACTCATGTTTCCGCCAGGGCCTTGCACTGTACCTGCTAGTAATTGTATTTGGGAAGATTGAGTGCCTCCCGGACCACCTCCGGGATTACCGCCAGATTGTTGCTGCTGCTGCTGAACCTGCGCAGCCTGCAATGTATTGTTATTTGAATTTACGGAGACGGCAGCACTACGCGGATGAGTATGTTGCGGTGGGGGCGGTGGTTGCTGCTGAAGAGTTGGCACATATTGGTATTGATAGTAGGGCATCGGTGTCGGTGCATATTGAAGATGCGATGTGGGAAACGTTTGCTGGCGAGGATTATATTGTGTGTATGGCTGGAGGACCATATTTTGATGAAGTGCAGCCTGCGAATACATCGGTTGAACGTGGACGTGACGCGTAGCACCTCCACTGACACCACCTCCACGGAGAGCATTCACCGATGAAGATGGTTGTTGTTGCGGACCTCGAAATATTCCTCCGCCGCCTGTCTGTGGATTTGAACGGTTGTTAGCAGAACTGTTGTTTCCCGTTGAAACGTACTGAAAATTTTAATAATTATAATTTATAGCACATATTAAAATTTTGTACTTATATTTTTCTTAATATTAAATTAAAGCTTACCATATTTTGTGCTGAATGGGGCTGCATGACTTTATTTATATCTGATTGTGTCGATATAGATGTTAAAAGTTGTTGCATTACGTTTAGCCCTAAGAATTGTTAGCCTTTTTAAGAGAAATCACTAGAAACGGTCAACTTGGCTGTTTCATTGATTTCTAAGGGCAAATTTTTGACCCACAAAATGATGAGCCGTCACACAATCATCGGATTCTACAGATAGAATTTTATATAATTAGCTGCATTTTTTTTTTATTTATTTGTAAGACCTCTTGTAAATATATTAGGTTTATCACTGGCAGAAGAATATCTGAAAAGTATTTTTAAAAATATATATTTAATATTCTTTAAAATCCAATCATTTGTTGTCTTATTGTTAATGTTATGAGATCTCAAAATTCAAGCCACATATTTTATGCTTAAACGAACTTATTATTATCCTCTGTCATCAAGATTTATGGGGCTTAAAAACTTACATAAATGTAATATTCCCAGAAATGGAAGATGGTAAATTATTTACTGCATTTTATAGTTTATCAAATTTTGTTAGGCTCAGAAACTTACATAAACGTAAGATGTCGATCTTTAAAACCAATCACAACGTACATATATATAAATATGTATGTGCATTTGTAGACTTTACATACTTTTTGCCGACGTAGCTTTTGTGGCAATACTGGATGAAACTCTCACAACAGCACAAAAGTAAGCAATAAACGTAAAATGTTTATTATTAATTGCAGATAAAGAATCAGAATATGTATTAAATATCTGCTTAATGGAGAGACTCTTTTATCACTTTTAACGAATGAAATTTTATCATGTAATATTTGTTAGCTCTTTTTTTTGCCTCTTTTCCGATCTACTTTTTACCTGAAGCATGTGTCCCCCTTCCTTCCTTGCGATTTCAAGTATTTACAAACGAAAGGTAAAACTAGCAAACAGTTTCCACTTTAAGTGTTGGGAACAGCTGCAATGTAATATCTCAAAGTAATTCTAGTCAGTTTAAATATTCTTTACAAATCAAAAACTATTTCACTTTTTTTTTTTGTTAAATTCCACATGCAATGTGTTCTGTTCAATTGGCGCAGAGCTGCAACAAATTAATCTTTGGTCTATCGATAGCTGTTATATTTCGATAGTGGACACGATATAGTGTTGAGAAGTCAGCTATTTTCTAACCAAATAGATGGTTTAAATTAAGCCTAGTACTCTGACGAGAAAAATCCGCTGTATAAATTTAGACAGCGGCCAAACTCCATATAAAAAAAACGGTGTCGAAAAAAAAGAAGAAGAACTTTTAGACACGTCGTTTTTTTCGGTACTCTGACGACGAAAATGAAGCCTGCGAAAATTGAATGGCGTTGCCAGATCAAGATAGTAAACAGCTGATATCGCGCTGTCTAAATAATTCATTTGATTTATTTAGACACCCCTAATGGAGGGAAAGTTGAAGGAAAAAGGTGGCATTGATAGGGACTGTCAAGGGGAAGCCTATAATATGGAATTTAACCCACAAAGGACATTTTAAGGCCATATTTATTAATATTTTAAATATTTTTTTTGAATATTTGTTTACAAACAGCTGCCCAGTGTGACCAAAGAAAATCCTTAAACGCCATAAAAAGTACATTTTCATGGCATTTCAGGATTTTCCTTAATTTTGTTTGGTCACACTAGCTCGGTGGCGAAATAAACAGCGATTCCGCTGTCTAATTTAGGCAGCGGGTTTTTCTCGTCAGAGTAAATCAAATGAATTATTTAGACAGCGCGATATCAGCTGTTTGCTATCTTGATCTGGCAACGCCATTCAATTTTCGCAGGCTTCATTTTCATCGTCAGAGTACCGAAAAAAACGACGTGTCTAAAAGTTCTTCTTTTTTTTCGACACCGTTTTTTTATATGGAGTTTGGCCGCTGTCTAAATTTATACAGCGGTTTTTTCTCGTCAGAGTACTGGCTTTACTTTTAAATTTTTCATTTTTGTATACCATATTCAGCGATTGTATTTATATATGTATCTGTATCTTATGATCTTAAGCCTAGTACTCTGACGACGAAAATCCGTTGTCTAAATTAAGACAGCGGAATCGCTGTTTAATTGGTTACCGAACCAGTGTGACCAAAAAAATCAATGAAAAGCCATAAAACGCCATGAAATTGTACCGTTTAAGGATTTTCTTTGGTCACACTGGACAGCTGTTTATAAACAAATATTCAAATAAATATTGAAAATATTAATAAATATGGCATTAAAATATCTATTGTGGGTTAAATTTCATATTATGGGCTTCGCCTTGACAGCCCCTATCATTGCCACTTTTTTCCTTCAACTTCCCCTCCATTAGTGTCTAAATAAATCAAATAAATTATTTAGACAGCGCGATATTAGATCTCTCTTGACCTGGCAACGCCATTCAATTTTCGCAGATATAATTTTAGTCGTCAGAGTACCGGCAAAATCGACGAGGCAAAAAGTTATTCTTCTTCCTTGTTCGACACCGTTTTTTTTATATTGAGTTCGGCCGCTGTCTTAATTTAGACAGCGGATTTTCGTCGTCAGAGTACTAGGCTTTAATAAAGATTGCATCAAGCTGGAAAAGGCAGCTTTTAATATGACCAGAGAATGGTAAAAAACCCTACACTCTATGATATAATTTGTCCTACTAGAGAGTAACGTATGTACATACAATCGTGGACATAAGTATTTTGACACAGATTATGGCTATATTCCAGCGCGTGTCTCTTTGTACTCGTAAAAGTTACGGGATCCATTTCACTTTCCAGTAAGAGATTATATTTAAATCTTTAAAAGAGCAAAAGATGACACTGATAAGTAAATTAACTTCTTTGCTATGTCCCGTGATGTGAGAGATCATGTATTTTTGGGTGGACAAAAATATTTTGACATTGCATTCAATTAGCTCTCATTTGTTTCGTGCGCATAAAATACAGTTTATTATTATTTATAACTCCAGCTCATACATTTTTTAGCAGCTTTAATATATTTTTTGTAAATTTTCCTAATTTCTGTACCGTTATTTAAAGAAAATATGGGTAAAGCACGGCAGCTAAGCCAAATCCAGCAAAAAAAAATAGTAATTAAGTACCAAGCAGGTATTTTGGTCCAGAACCTCAGCATATTTTATAAAATACCCCGTCAAACAAAATTAACAAACATAAACTGACAAATTCGAGGAATAATTTAGTCAGAAAAGGACGACCATGCAAAACTACGCCTAGACAAGAACGTGTAATCTTTGCAAAATTTAAAGAACATGTCCTTATTAAACCAAACGAAGTTTCAATGAAAGTTAAAAACGATTATGATATTTTAATTAATAAAAAAACAGTTGAAATATTATTTAAAGAGGCTAACTTTGCTACTTTGTGGCCCGTCAGATACCTTTCATTTCACCTAAAAATGAGTTAAAACGATTAGCCGATTAGGCCGCACTTTCTTGCGAATATTTTTTGGTAATCTGCAGTAAATTTCTTTTTTTTTAACCATAGTACTCAAAAGGACTCTCATCGGTCCACAAAACGATTGAGGCTGTTAACAAATGATTTGGCAAAGGCTAATCGTTTCAACTCATTTTAAGGTGAAATGACGGGCCACATTAGTAGCAAAGTTAGCCTTTTTAAGTCTTCTTTCAACTGTTTTTCTACTAATTTAAAAATTATAATCGTTTTGAACTTCCATTGAAGCTGCTTTTGGTATAATAAGGACATTATCTTTAAATTTTGAAAGGATTAGACGATCTTGTCTAGGCGTGGTCTGGCGTGGTCGCCCTTTTCTGACTAAATTATCCGTCGAAATTGTCAGTTTATGTTTGTCAATTTGGTAGTAAATGGTTTGTCGGGGTACTTTATAAAATATGCTGAGGTTCTGGACCGAAATACCTGCTTGGTACTTAATTACTATTTTGTTTTGCTGGATTTGGCTTAACTCCCGTGTTTTACCCATATTTTCATTAAATAACGGTACAGAAATTAGGAAAATTGACAAATAATGTATTAAAGCTGCTAAAAGATTTATAAGCTGGAGTTATAAATATCAAACAACGTCCTTTAATGCGCACGAAACAAATGAGAACTGATTGAATGCAATGTCAAAATATTTTAGTCCACCCAAAAATGCATGATCTCTCACATCACGTGACATAGCAAAGAAGTTAATTTACTTATCAGTAACATCTTTTGCTCTATTAAAGATTTAAATATAATCTCTTACTGGAAAGTAAAATGGATCCCGTAACTTTTACGAGTACTAAGATACACGCGCTGGAATATAGCTATAAGCTGTGTCAAAATACTTATGTCCACGATTGTATGTATGTATACGTCTGATCATTTGGCTGTTCCTACCATTTAATTTTTATCTAACTGTTAAATAGTCTGTGTATTCCTTTGAATCACTGAAATAATGAAAATACAGGCGATGTATCGCGACAGTTAGCCGATATTTCTAACTGAAAACAGCTGTTCCCTTACAAACTAATTCAGTCAATCACTCATTAAGAGAATACCATCAGTTACAGAGTAATGTTAATAGCGTTGTTCGCCACCAAATTGTGCTGCAAAGCGCAGGAGTCCCAACGCTCTCCACTATTTATGGGTAACAGAGAAGCGTTCGAAGAGAAACTTATTAGTACCATCTCTTTCCTAACTCTTATCATGGTTATTCTCTTTGACACCAAAACTGTTGTGAGAGATGGACAAGACAGAATGAATTCCAGTGGAAGGATAAAGATTGTTGTTGTTGTATGCGGCTGCTGATGCTGCCTGTTTGTTGTTTTTTTACTTGGCCACCGTTGCTGCTGCGTTGGTTAGGTCCTGCTTGGTGTTGTTATTGTGCTGCTGCGTCGTGCAAGAACTGATTTCGCGTTGTGCTTATCATGTCATGATTAAAATCAGTCAACTTGCTGGTAATTCAAAGAAAAGACGTACGTATACGTGTCTCGACCAAAACCATAAAAGTATACATAAGTATACGTAAAATTTTAAAAACAATTAAATAAAAACGGTTCGAACTTATGTACATATGTGCGAGTATTAAATAAAAAAAGGTTAATTTTTGGGAAAAAGTGAACAAAGTAAATAAAGTATAGTTTGAATTTCCCAGTGCTTTGTTTGGTAGGTCAGTGTAAATGTTAATCCAGTCATTCATGGTTCGGAAAATCGTTTAGTGTCTTTATATCAACATATAACTAAAGTCACATTAATGAATATACATATCCTGCATCTATTTACGGTTTTTTTTCATTTGGGCTTTTTGCCTTTGGCTATGGCTAACACTTCCCTTTTCTCTTCCACAAAGCATCCATCGCCATCATCAATTGTACCATTCTTGTTGGTACTTCTTGCTTAAGTTCTTGTGGAAGCCTAAAAGCTTTTTCTGGGTCGCCTTTACACATACAAGCATCAGGATATTTTTTGAGGAAAGTTCTCCACCCTCTCCATCTGGGGTTGGGGTGGAACCATTGTGGAACTCATTTCGGAATATAAGCTTAGACAAGAACCGGACGAAGCTGAAGAAGTTCAGAGCAGCTGTTAAATAAGAGTGTTGATTTAACGGTTAGCTCCAAAATGTCTGCACAATAGAGTGGTTCATTTATGTATATAACCTTGCAGATCATCTTAGTCAAAAGTTTTCCACACAGTGAAGGAGTAATTTCCGATCAATGTAGAAATGCTTCTATATTATCCAAATATGCAGATGGTGTTTTTTCTATTCTCATTAACAAATACATACATAAGTCGACACGGATGAGACGGATCACTATATCACAAAGCTGACATTGTATTTTTGTTTACACTAAGATATTGTTATTTGATATGGTTTTTTTTTTTATTTCATAATTATATTATTATTATTATAATTATATAAATTTCGGTTTTCATTTTATGCGAATCGAACGATTATATCATATACAGGCCTGTTCTAGTTTCCACTCGCAAGTGAATTTGATAACATTTGCGGATTTCCCTTTAACATAAACGAATTTCCCTTGGTGATTAAAGGAATTTTTTTTTAATTTCCCATAAATTCCCAAACAAAATCAGCTGGTCGCTTTCAACAAAAGAGATTCCGTTGTCTAAGATTTGCTAAAAGGGGCTGATCAAATTTTGGCCCGCTGTTGTCTCCATCTCATAGATAGTAATTAAGCACTAATTTAAATAATAAAATCGAAGGAATAAGCATTAAGACAGGAAATAAACATTTTGAAATATTTGTAATTGCAATCAGCTGTTCTGGTGGCAAAATGCTCGAAAGTAGAGTTGCCGAGGGTTTAGAAAAAATGTCCTTCGCATAAAATTTAGTTCAGTTTGTGGATTGAATTGGCTGGTATTTTAAAGAAAAACACTTTTTCATATACTTTACCTAATAGCAGATATTTTAATTGTAAAACAACATAAAAAGTAATTGTTCGAAATTAATCTTAAATATATGCCGTTTTTTTTTTGAAACGCTGACAACCCTTAAATGGTCCCTCTCAAATACGACACAGCGGCAGCGGATTTGCAATAATGTTGAAGGTTAGAATCGAACCGATTTTAAGGTGCACCCACAAAATAATTATTTATAAATCAAGTATGTTAGTATTAATTAATTCAATTATGCAATAATGTTCCCAAAACTTCAAGGAATAAAATACAATTAACATTTGTAATATACATAATCGCATTGTATTTTAAAATAATTAATTTCTGATTTTGCGGATTTGAATCCGCCGGCCAAATGGCACACGGAAAGTTTCCGTGCGTTTCGTCTGCAAATTAACAGAGACTTAACAGAGGGAAATACGAATCCGTAAAAATTTTTCGGAAGTGCACACTAGAACAGGTCAGGGAAATCCGAATCCGAATAAATTTTGCGGAAGTGGAAACTAGAACAGGCCTGATAGTTATTATTATCGGTAAATATGTATAAACATATAAAACTGTAATTATGAATTGTATAGACATAGCTTATTGTTTATTTTATTATTTCTTTTGGCATTTCTTACTGTAAGCTTCAAGGGTATTTAAATGAAAAATATTAAATTTAAACTTTTCTTTTATCTATTTTCAGAAATTCTTTTTAAAAAGGTTGAAACAGAATTAAACCATGAATCTATTAAAAATGTTTTTGTTATGATTAAACTATACATAAAGGAATCGAGAGAATAGTGTATCTTTTTGTAAAATGGAAATGTCAAAAGAAATACATATAACACTTGTGGTCCTCGTGACTTTGACCTTCAGCATAACAGTGTCGAAGCAAAAGGGGCTAAGTACCAACGGTCAGGACACAGTCTCCGTGTCCCTGCCCGGCGATATCGTTCTTGGCGGCCTCTTTCCAGTTCATGAAAAGGGCGAAGGAGCCCCTTGTGGGCCAAAAGTATACAATCGTGGAGTTCAACGTTTAGAAGCGATGCTTTATGCAATTGATCGAGTTAACAATGACTCTAATATACTACCTGGAATCACGATAGGCGTCCATATATTAGATACTTGCTCGAGAGATACATATGCCCTCAATCAGTCCCTTCAATTTGTACGGGCTTCTCTTAACAACTTGGACACTTCTGTGTTTGAGTGTTTGGACAGATCAACTCCACAACTGAGAAAGAATGCATCGTCGGGTCCAGTTTTTGGAGTTATTGGTGGATCGTATAGTTCGGTATCATTGCAGGTGGCCAACTTGTTGCGTTTATTTCATATTCCGCAAATATCACCGGCCTCTACTGCTAAAACCTTGTCCGATAAGTCACGTTTTGATCTGTTTGCCAGAACAGTGCCTCCAGATACATTTCAATCGGTAGCTTTAGTAGATATAATCAAAAATTTCAACTGGTCGTATGTTTCTACAATACATTCAGAGGGATCTTATGGTAAGTGCACACTATTTCTCATTTTTACAAACAATATTCAAACTCTGCCTTCCCAAATTTGTTTACTAATTAAGTTCTCTAAGTTTTATTGTTGGTTACTCTTTTTTTAATAACAGTTTAATAGAGAGAGTAAAGTATCTTTAATTTTCTTTTTTTAGGTGAATATGGCATCGAAGCTTTTCACAAAGAAGCCAATGAACGTCACGTTTGCATTGCGGTCGCTGAGAAAGTGCCAAGTGCAGCGGACGATAGGGTTTTCGATTCGATTCTTAGTAAACTTCAAAAGAAGCCCAATGCTCGCGGCGTTGTGCTATTTACCAGAGCAGAAGATGCTCGACGTATTTTACTTGCGGCAAAACGTGCTAATTTATCACAGCCCTTTCACTGGATCGCTAGCGACGGTTGGGGAAAGCAACAAAAATTATTGGAGGGATTGGAGGATATTGCTGAGGGCGCTATCACCGTAGAGCTGCAATCGGAAATCATTGAAGATTTTGATCATTATATGATGCAACTGACGCCGGGGACAAATCAGCGAAATCCGTGGTTTGCTGAGTATTGGGAGGATACTTTTAATTGTGTCTTGGAACCTGAGTCAGTATCGAATCTTAACAAATCTACTGGCAGCAAGTCAACACCCAAATCTAAAACCATATGCGATGATAATTTACGGTTATCGGAAAAAGTTGGGTACGTTTTCTTTATATCCCTTATCATTTAATTTAATTCCCTCTTAATTAACTTTGAAATAATTTGTTTAGATACGAACAAGAATCAAAAACTCAATTCGTTGTGGATGCTGTATATGCATTTGCCTATGCACTAGACAATTTGCATAATGATCGGTGCAATATCCAAAGTGATCAGACGACGGAACAACGAAGGCATCAACCACATAGCGAGTCGGTGTGGTACCGACCAATATCAACAAATACCAAGTCCCAAGCCTGTCCTGAGATGACCAATTACGATGGCAAGGACTTTTATAATAATTATTTACTGAACGTGTCATTTATAGGTATTATTATTTAATTTTTGACTCGACATTTCTATTAACTCTCTTTTTAAAAAGATCTTGCTGGCAGCGAGGTTAAATTTGATCGACAAGGCGACGGATTGGCTAGGTATGATATTTTAAATTACCAACGGTTGGAAAACTCATCAGGATATCAATACAAGGTACAAGTCGTTTCAAATATTTATGAATATAAGTTACATAAGTTGAGTTTTTCCTAACTCATACATAATTAGTTATTAGTTATTAATATATGTATTACTAGCGACCCGTCCTAGCTTCATCAGCGATTGCGACACATAATTTCTCAGATTTGCCAGACAAAGATGATTCTCCTGTGTGGATTTTCTAGAATGTTGATATCTGTTTCTCCATTGCATTTTTATACCCTTGCAGGGTATTATAATTTCAGTCAGAAGTTTGCAACGCAGCGAAGGAGACGTTTCCGACCCTATAAAGTATCTATATTCTTGATCAGCATCAACAGCCGAGTCGATCTAGCCATGTCCGTCTGTCCGTCTGTCCGTCCGTCCGTCTGTCCGTTTCTACGCAAACTAGTCCCTCAGTTTTAAAGCTATCTGAATGAAACTTTGCATATAGTCTTCTATATACTCTCACTGATATATATGTCGGAACGGGCCGGATCGGACGACATATAGCTGCCATACAAATGTTCGATACATTTTTAGAAAAAAAAATTATAACTTGGCTGTTTTTCAAAATTTTTGCATCATTTTTGGGATATGGCCATTTTATATTATTCCAGAATTTCCGTAAAAATTTAATGAAAATCGGACGACTATATCTTATAGCTGCCATAGGAACGATCGGAAAATGAATAGGAAAAAAATTATAACTTTGTTGTTTTTCAACATATTCTTATCTACTTTTAGATATGAGCTTCTTTTATTAATTCAGAATTTTGGTAAACATTTTATGAAAGTCGGACAACTATATCATACAGGTGACATATTAGCGATCGGTAAATGTAGAGAAAATGTAAAGCTGTAACTGTCAAGCTGTAAACATAATAAGTATAGGTAAAATGTTATGAAACTCTGTTTAGTGTCGGTTTTCGGCATTATAATTTATAATATTAATATGAAAACCAATCTGCAAGGGTATACAAACATCGGCGTGCCGAAGTTAGCTTCCTTTCTTGTTTTGACTTACGTTTAGCGGTGGATTCTGTTTCTCCGATTGCAACGCATAAGCTTTTTGATCTTGAAGACGACCTAAATTTTAGAAGATGATCCTCCAATACGTCATATTATTAATATTCTCGCTGGCGTTAACTTTTGGAATGTTTAGATGTTTTTCTCCTACGCATTTTATTGACTAGTTTTAGACGTTTTGATAAATTCTTAAGAGGTCTTGGACCAAGTTATTTAAGTTCTAATAAGGATATCTTTTTTTTCTGGAAATAAATATAGGCCTGTTCTAGTTTCCACTCGGAAGTGAATTTGATAACATTTGCGGATTTCCCTTTGACATAAGCGAATTTCCCTTGGTGATTAAAGAACATTTTTTAAATTTCCATTGAATTCCCAAAAAATTTCAACTGGCCACTCACAACAAACGAGATTGCTTTGTCTGAGATTTGCTAATAAGGGGCTAATCAAAGTTTGGGCCTCTGTAGTCTAGTTTGAATTGCAAGCAGCTGTTCTGGTGCCAATTTCCTCGAGAGTAGAGTTTGCCGAGGTTGTAGAAAAAGTTTCCTTCATATAAAATTTTTTTAGTTTGTAGATTGAATTGGCTAGTATTTTAAACAAGAACACGTTTTTATATACTTTAAACTAATAGCCGATCTTTTAATTGTAAAACAACCTAAAAAGTAATTGTTTGAAAATAATCTTAGAATCTTTTTTGGAACGCTAATAACCCTTGATTGGTCCCTCTCAAATAGGATACCGGGTCGGGGTATTTGCATAATGTTGAAGGTTATAATCGAAACGATTTTATTGTGCAACTACAAAATAAATTTAAATCTTAATTCTAAAATATCAAAGAATAAAATACAATAAACATTTGCAATTTACCTAATCGAATTGTATTTAAAAAAATGAATTTCTGATTTTCGGATCTGAATCCGCCAGCCAAATGGCAGTCGGAATGTTTCCGAGTGGTTTCTCTCGGAAGTTAATAGAGACGTAACAGAGGGAAATACGAATCCGTGGTGATTTTTCGGAAGTATGGGGGTAAGGGAAATCCGAATACGAGTAGATCTCGCGGAACTGGAAAGTAGAAATGGCATACATAGCATATAATTACTTGATTTTGTTAAAATTGAAAAAAACATTATTTTTAAAAAGTAAACAATATTTTTAGATTTAAAATATCTAATATAATATAAATATAAAATATATGTTAAATAAAAAAATATTATGCCTATTTATATTAACTAACCTATTACATAATGTATTTACGGTTTTACATGTTCAGATTTTTCATATGGCAACAATATGATATATGAAGTTGTCCGATTTTTACTTAAACTTAACTTAAAACCGAAATTCTAAAATAATACAAAATGGCCATGTCACATAGTAGATGAAAATATGTTGAAATAAGTTATTTGTCTAAAAATATTCCTATCTTTTTAATGATATAGAAATGATCATCAGTGAGCCGCCCCCCTTAGCCATAAATCTGCAAAGCGCCTTTGTAGTCTCAGTCGCTCGCTTTTTCGTGTCTTGTATGTGCACTGAATGTTAGCTTTGAGTCCAGTTTAACTCCTAGTTACCTCTGTTACCGCCGTAAATTAGATTTCAAATCTTTAGCCGGGTGATAAACGGTGTGACCATCGAGTTTCTGATCACGCAAAAATTAAAGGTATTTTTTCCTGGAAATGTATCTGGCCACTTGAGAAAGCACCGGCCTGGGAAAAATGCAAAGTTTTTTTTAAAGCTGCGCATTGTTTTGTAAAACCTAAAAACTTAAAGTGACTGCTTAACTGCTTGTCGAACAATTAATAACCCTACGCCAATCATCCGTGCTATCAACACCTTCTGCGTCCTTAAGTTTTCCCCTAGCTAACAAGAGCTCAGTTTTCGTCCACCAGTTTCAGATCGTCTGAGTTCAGCCAGCTTTTTACACATATTATTACTCATTACTTGCGTCAACTTGCGCTGTGCGTTCTCGGTATTTAGAGCTGTAATGACTGCGACTATGTCGTTTGCCTACCCCCCGATATTCATGTTCTCAGGGATACATAGGTGGAAAATTTCTTCGTAGCTGATGTTCCATAACTATGGTCTAAGTATTGATCCTTGTGCGGCTTCTGAAGTTATCTGCATACATTTCTCCCCTGCTTTTGTTTGATGCAGTAGTCGTCGGTTATTATCCGCATCAGTTATCCTGAGATTTAAAATCGTTTTTTTTAAGAGGATCAACTATGTTGTAAAGCATTTTTAACGTCTAGAGTAGCTTGGAGTACTACCAGTCTCGAGACGTGGTTGCCCTGTTGGCTGCTGAGCACTTAGTTTACGACTGCTTGGATTGCTTCAATGGTCGATCTGCCTGATATTACAAATTGCTGTTCTTATTGCATTGAAGGATCACCATGAAAATTCCTCTCAAACGCAACGGTGGTGTATAAGACACAAATTGTCAGGAGTATTGACACACCAGGACACTGCAAACTTCGGTCAGTCTGAGTAGTCTGTGGATACTTCCAAAATTCCGTTTACTGCCCTGCTAACAAAGAGTACCGCCATCCAAAAAAAATGTGGAAACTGGAGAAAACCATACTGGCAAACTAGAGAGACTGTGTAGTCTTCAGGGAGCTGAAGAGTCGATTACGATGAACGGCAGCTACTCGCCAATAAAATACATAAAACAAGTACCATAATTCAAAAACTACGGCAGACGATCACTATAGATCTTCCGGATAGCAAAGCCCATAGCGTGACAGACATCCTTTTCAGAGAACTCATCAAACACCATTTTCACCAAAGATTTGCAACAAATTACTTGCAAGGCACCGCTATAAAAGTGCAGTCAGGTAACAGCAAATTTTTCATTGCCACTGTCTACTGCCCACCTCGCATTACAATCTCTAAAGGCCAATTCAAGCGAAGCATGAGCAATAAATAAGACTACGCTTCCCCTAGTAGCCCCACATATCGACCAGCAGACCCCAGGAAGATACCAGATCTAATTGAATCATCAAAAATGCAAAACTAATATATGTATATTGAGAATCTCTCGCCAACCATTATGAAGGGGTCACCCAGATCTAAGCTCTCCTATTGAAACCGTCACCCCAATAAGAAATTCATCAGGAAGCTCCTGGAACTTGTGAAAACTAACTACACTCAAAGAATGCGCATCAGTAAATATATCGAACTGAAAATGAGAGATATTGACAGCATCACACAGAAACACAAAGTAATAGGTATAGGCGTTCTTAACGGAACTGTTTTGCGCTCTCCATTTGGAGTATTTTTGCTGATAAACCACCGGTGTTTATTTAAAATGTGTGTTTAAATTTATCTTTTTTTTTTTTTTTTTTTTTTTTTTCGCGCGGGGTCCCGCTTCCACCTCCCGCCCAACCGACCGAGGGGCGCAGCCGTGTGACGTACGGCACGAATCGCGAACTAGATAGACGCGTTAGAAGGAAAGACGAAAATGAACGAGGAAACATTAGAGAACAAAATATAATATAAAATAACTAAATCTAATAATCTAATAATCTGATCTAAAAATAAAAATAAAAAAAAAAAAAAAATTAATAAAGACGCATGCAAAATTATTGCTACACTACGAGATAACTACTACAAGTCATGCAAAAATAAATAAATAGGTAAAATAAAATAAAATAAAATAAAAACTCATGCAAAATTAAACTACGGTGCTACACTACGAGCTAACTCTACAAGTATTAAGGTTTTTAATATAGACATACATTAACCTATAAATATTACCATATATTAACCGTTTCATAGTTACAGTTTTACATTCATTTACATCTTTAGTTCCTATGTCAGTTATATAATATAGCTTAGCCGGGTTTCATAAAATTAAAGCAGAAATTTTTAAATAAAAAAAAATTGATCCAATAGTTTCTATGACAGTTATCCGATATAGTTTTTCGATTTATATACCTACAATTTATAAAATAATACAAAATGACCATATTATAATTAATTATAATTTTTTTTTTAACATTTGTCGTCATATCCGGCTCTTTCCGACATATGGGCATTTCCATGGTGTCGCACGCGACATTCGTACGCATTCAAAGCAAAAAAAAAGTATTTTATTTTTATTTCTTTTAAAAATATTAACTTATAGCTCTTGTCTAGGGCTATAATTGGTGTTAGTGTTGACTTTGAGTGTATGCTCAAATTTAAGAAATTTAAGGGTTCGCACGCGACAAAAACAGATGTCACTTTACGCGGCGAGCTGTTTAAACACTGATTTTAGCGAGACGGCTGGGAATATTTTAATGAAACAAATTTTAAAATGTTATGCGATAATGTCATTTTCATATGCTTTAATTTACAATCAGAAATTTAGCGTAGTTTATTTTTTATTGAATTTTAATAAGGTGTCGCACGCGACATTTTTTATCATCATACTTTGCATGTAATTTTTACTATTATAAGTAAATTGGAAGAGCATATATCCATTTTATTTCGACTTTTTGCATTCTTCTTGTGATGTTAGTAAACAACAGTCAAAGCATAATGCCTCGGTTTGGATGTAATTATCAAAAGAAAACAGGCCCATTTTTATGATGTTTTTCATCAAAATAATGAAAAATCGTGTTTGCGCGAATATGCATTCGAATATTTCGAAATTTGTTTTAGAATATGATAAAGCCCTTCAAATTTAATCAGTTGACCTTTTCCTAATGTTTCTATGTTGAAAAAAAAAACATTTTAGAGAAGTTTTAGTTTTTTGGCCGCGGTTGACATTTCTGTGGAAATGCCCATATACATATATCAGTGAGAGTATTCAGAAGACTATCAGGCCTGTTCTAGTTTCCACTTCCGCAAAATTTATTCGGATTCGGATTTCCCTGACCTGTTCTAGTGTTCACTTCCGAAAAATTTTTACGGATTCGTATTTCCCTCTGTTAAGTCTCTGTTAATTTGCAGACGGAAACTTTTCGTGTGTCATTTGTCCGGCGGATTCAAATCCGCAAAATCAGAAATTAATTATTTTAAAATACAATGCGATTATGTATATTACAAATGTTAATTGTAATCTATTCCTAGAGGTTTTGGGAACATTATTGCATAATTAAATTAGCTAATACTAAAGTACTTGATTTAAAAATAATTATTTTGTTGTTGCACCTTAAAATCGGTTCGATTCTAACCTTCAACATTATTGCAAATCCGCTGCCGCTGTGTCGTATTTGGGAGGGACCATTTAAGGGTTGTCAGTGTTTCAAAAAAAAAAAAAACGGCATATATTTAAGGTTAATTTCGAACAATTACTTTTTATGTTGTTTTACAATTAAAATATCTGCTATTAGGTAAAGTATATGAAAAAGTGTTTTTCTTTAAAATACCAGCCAATTCAATCCACAAACTGAACTAAATTGTATGCGAAGGGAATTTTTTCTAAACCCTCGGCAACTCTACTTTCGAGCATTTAGCTACCAGAACTGCTGATTGCAATTACAAATATTTCAAAATGTTTATTTCCTGTCTTAATGCTTATTCCTTAGATTTTATTATTTAAATTAGTGCTTCATTACTATCTATGAGTTGGAGACTACAGCGGGCCAAAATTTGATCAGCCCCTTTTAGCAAATCTTAGACAAGGGAATCTCTTTTGTTGAAAGCGACCAGCTGATTTTGTTTGGGAATTTAAGGGAAATTAAAAAAATTTCCTTAAATCACCAAGGGAAATTCGCTTATGTTAAAGGGAAATCCGCAAATGTTATCAAATTCACTTCCGAGTGGAAACTAGAACAGGCCTGTATATGTAAAGTTCATTCAAATTTGCAGACATGCAAGGGTATAAAAATAAAACGTAACGTGAGTACCTCGGGACACTTATCCCTAAACTAATGAATTAAAGATTTTTGGTATCGGATTTTTTTTGACAGTTAAGAGGTACACCGAAAACCAAATTTTTTGTCGGGGATTTGGGAGATTACTTATAGACCTTTAGAAACGGACATGGCTAGATCGACTCTTCTTTTGATGCTGTCAATAAGTCCTTCAAGCTCAAGACGCTTTTGTAAGATTTGTTATCTCGGCGTTCCTTAACTCAAATGTATAGTATCTAGCCGTAATTATATATAAAACAAGCTTAAATGCTTTACTTACATATATCTAAAGTCAAAAACTGTTTGACGCTTTTTAGGTTATTGGAAAATGGTTTAATGGATTGCAGCTTAATTCTGAGACAGTTGTATGGAATAAGGAGGCGGAACAACCAATGTCTGCTTGTTCCCTGCCATGTGAGGTTGGGATGATAAAGAAGCAACAGGTAATATTTAATCAATTTCTTTAAATATTTACTATATTCTATTCATACATAGGGCGACACATGCTGCTGGATTTGTGATAGTTGCGAGTCATATGAATATGTCTTTGATGAATTTACATGCAAGGACTGCGGCCCCGGACTATGGCCCTATGCTGACAAGCTCTCTTGCTTTTCTCTCAATATTCAATATATGCGATGGAATTCGCTTTTTGCGATTATTCCCATGGCTATAGCCATCTTTGGGATTGCCGTGACATTAATAGTTATAGTTTTATTTGCAAAAAACCACGATACTCCTCTGGTCAGAGCATCGGGCAGAGAGCTAAGCTATACTCTTCTATTTGGCATACTCGTCTGTTACTGCAACACATTTGCGCTAATAGCAAAGCCCACAATTGGTTCGTGTGTACTTCAAAGATTTGGCATTGGGGTTGGGTTCTCTATAATCTATAGTGCCCTACTCACGAAAACCAATAGAATTTCAAGAATATTTCACTCTGCTTCCAAGTCAGCCCAACGCCTTAAATATATAAGTCCGCAGTCGCAGGTTATAATAACAGCATCACTGATCGGTAAGATTAATATATTTATATATATCTTATATACAAGACTGTTATACATATATAGAAGACTATTGAGTGTGTTCAGTTAAGCGGTATTCTTGTTACATTTTTTCAACAACAAATTATATGAGAGTGACTCGTTTCAAAAGAAAAGCAATACATCAATTGGTATTAAATTAAAGTTATTTCGGGAAGGTAAAAAAGGTAAAAATTCGTGTTTTCACTTTTTTAGCGAACATTCGAGTTTTTGTTTTGCGCTCCGAATTTTTGTGTTTTTTTTATGTCTCAGTTTAATTGTTAACATACAATTTTTAACCTATACCGTTTTCCTACTGTAAGTGCATGTGCCTTTCTGTGTTTAACTAATTTAATTTTAACAAACTCTTTTAGTTTTGTGCCCCCCTTGGTGTTGTTCCGTTAGTTTCTCAACGCCGTATTTTTGTTGCTTATAGCTGCGCTTAAGCGGTTGTAAAATCTCCTTACTCTTTGCTCTGCAGTCTTACTCTCCCGCTCTCACGTTTTAACGGCACTCCCTCTTGTGATGCGGTCTTATGCGCTAAGTGACTCGACTTGACGAGACGTATTGCTTATATAATTTCCAGAAAATTGCCATGCCTGTCGTGAGGTTGAGAAGAATCTGTTATCTTTCACGCAATTAAAACAGAAGGGGTTTCCAACGTAACTTTCAAACCTATGTGATTTACACAGACTTTAGCAAAGCATTTGACTCGGTTAATCATTCTCTTCTTGTAGTGAAGGTTGACTTAATTGGGATTCCTGATGATCTTCAAAGGAGTTTGAGTTATTTGAGTGACAGGACTCAAAAGGTTCAAATGTTCAAATTAAAAATGAAAACGGATGACATTTGCACGTGTTACTCCGCAGTTTGCCACTTACTGTTTTTGACGATTTGGGTGTTCGCCTAGACCCTAAACTTTTGTTCTCTGAACATATTTCTAGCATGGTTAATAAAGCCAGAGGCATGCTCGTTTTTATTAAAAGTTCGTCGAAGGAATTCGATTTCCCTTATGTAACGAAGACTTTTTTTACTGCCTTTGATATAAGTGACACTCTTCCCAAACTTAAAACCTAAATACTTTTAGAATTAGCTCATGTATGTAGTGTAGTGCTTTTTTCCCCGCTTTCTTTCTAACGCGTCTATCTAGTTCGCGATTCGTGCCGCTCGGTCGGTTGGGCGGGAGGAGGAAGCGATACTCCGCGTGAAAAAAGACAAGACAGGAAGCTAGATCATAATTATATATATTTATTTTTACAGGTTTAGAGTTACAAGTTATGATTTTTTTTATTAATTTCGCGGATCGTTCATATAGCAGCTATATAAATAGGGTCACCTCATAGGGTCGGAAATGTCTCTTTCATTTCGTTGCAAACTTCCGACATAAATTATAATACCCTGCAAAGGTATAAAAAATATTAATATATATAATTACATTTATCCACAGCCATACAAATATTAATCACGATGATTTGGATGGTTGTAGAGCCACCTGGAACGCGTTTCTACTATCCCGACCGCACAGAGGTGATACTAAAATGCAAAATACAGGATATGTCTTTCCTATTCTCTCAGCTCTACAATATGATTCTAATCACTATTTGCACGGTATATGCAATTAAAACAAGAAAAATACCTGAGAATTTTAATGAATCCAAATTTATTGGATTTACCATGTACACAACATGTATAATATGGCTAGCTTTCGTGCCGATATACTTTGGCACTGGAAATTCCTATGAGGTATAAAATATAAAAAATAATATATATACATTTTAGACTTATAATTAATTGACTTCCAGATTCAAATTACCACATTGTGCATTTCAATAAGTCTCAGCGCTTCGGTGGCCCTAGTTTGCCTATATTCACCAAAAGTCTACATTCTTGTATTTCATCCAGACAAGAATGTACGCAAGTTGACAATGAATAGCACAGTTTACAGGCGATCGGCAACAGCTGGTACTGGAGCCGGCGGAGGAGCTCAAGGCGCACCGAATAGTTCAGGATTTAGTCGGACTCAGATGGGTGGAAGCAGCACCACCTTGCCTGTTCAAGGAAGTGCGGTATGTGGTGCTATGACCTCTTCAAGCGTGCAGCCTATACAACAAAATAGCCCAAAAATTAATGAAAAAGTCTCAAGTCCTATCGCCGAATTCAGCAATGGCGAATATCTGGTTGAAGATGAATTTGAATGTGGAGGGTCAGTCTGCAGTGGTCGATCAAAAAATTAAGACACAAAAGATATATATTAAAAAAAAAAACAATTCTTTTGTAAAACAATTAGGGGAGAGTGGGGATAGGTGAACCATGGGGATAGATGAACCACTGCAAATATTTCACCTTCTGTCAAGATTTTGCCATCTATATGTGTGTTGCTTACTTAGTCGATATCCTAACCTCACACCCACGCACAGTCGCGTCAAACGATTGTTGTCGTTTTTATCGCTAGTCGAAGTTGGAATTCGCCGTTTGCAGCTTCATTTGTGACCTAACGTTTTCTTGGAAAAATTTTATCGTGCTTCGCCAGTGGCATTAAACTTCATAAAATTGTATTTTATCGTAAGTAGACGCAAATTATGATATTTCCACGGATAGCTCACGCAGTTTAAATAATTCATGTTTTCTTCAAATCACTTCTAATTGGCTAATGACTTGTGGGGATACATAAACCACCTTTCCAAATTTGATTTACTAAATTTTCCATCGCAGGCTGCCAAAATGGTGAGAAACTACAAACAAAATATCAAATCAGGTTTTGAAAAGAGTGGAATTTTTCCCTTCAACCCACAAAAGTTTTCTGCATCTGACTTTCTTGCGACACAGAAAACACTCACAATCAAAATTCTCAACAAATGGCAATCGTACAAGATGAAAATGTACTCCTGAACACTCCTGCGAGGAACAATAACTCAGTCGAGTCCGCAATGTCTCCCAATATTGACGTGGATGATGTTCCTTTGGCGATCAGAATGCGTTGGTTCTTGCCAGGAAAATCGCCAGAGGACTTACGAGGGTACCCAAAGGCTAAACCACGAAAATAGACGACTCGGGGAAAAAAACGAGGAAGGAGTATCATTGCTACAGACTCACCGCAGAAAAATTGATCGCGGAAAAACACAATCAGATAACTCAAGAAACCCTTCGAAAAAAGAAAGAATAAAAACAAAAATAAGAATAAATAGCAATATTGTAACGTTTTATTTTATGCTGTAAAGGTGCAATGTTTATATTCGAACAGAAAGAAGGCATGCACAAAGAAAAAAATTACACTTTTTTATACAATTGCAGTTTTTGTGTTATCCTGATAGGTGGTTCAACTATCCCCATAGGGTGGGGATACCTGAACCATTCGAGACAAAAATATGGAAAGCAAATAAACTTTACAAAACAAAATATAGTATTTTTGCATAATACTCAATATTCCAAGGAATGTGGGCTCTTTTAGATTTCTATATAGGCAGACCCTTACGTCAAATAGTTCAGTCATAATAATGTTTATAAAGAAAAGTGGTTCACCTATCCCCACTCTCCCCTATGCTCAGCATATCATGTATCTTTTTAAAATTAGCGTGAAATTTAAGGTTTCTGCGTTAAAAAAGTTTCATCTTTAGAAAATGTTGCTGTTTGTTTCATAATTAAATTTAAACTTTTAAATAGATTTATTATTGAGTTTTAGGTAAAGCAATGAATTGGTTTAAAAAGTTCCATTAAATTAAATTATTAAATTATTTTAAACATCGGAGTTATTCACATTTGGTTTTCAAGACAAAAAGAGAAAAAGAACAATGTACATATGTTACTTTAAAAACATAAAAACGTAACACTTTGTTATTAAAAAGCTAATATTTCGTTATACTATATAAATACACATGGAATAATAATAGAACTCTTCAAAACTATTTGTAAGCTTTTTTAACATCAACGATCTATTAAGTAATTAAGTAATCTTTATTTTGTACATAAGCGAGTGTGCAATACACATTTTTTAAAAGTAATAGGCCCACCTTTATACGAATTGAAGAATAAGCATAAAGAAATCATTCGGTAAATAGCACAGGTACACAGCCAAAAATTTCCACGAACCATTTCAAGTTTTCCATGATATTTGGGTGCTCCTGAGTAAAAGTCCAATACAAAATTATTTTCCATCACCTACAGGTTCCGCGGTATACCTAAGAATACAAAAAACCGATGTTTGCCGTCATTTTGAATTACGTGGCCTATATAATTGGACTTACCTTTATTATTTTCGGTAGGACCTACTCTCAATACATCACGGCACTACTAAAAAATAGTCCCAATCGTGGACCATTGCCCATGTCTTGGGAATTCGACGCCACAGTTGAAACTCCCAAAATTTTCAACATTTCTGTGATGAAAAAACAATTCTGAGAATTAAATCTTATATGGAACTAATTTTAAATATTCATTGAATCTATTGTTCATTGTATTCTTTAATTTCGGTTTAAAGCGTTTTCATGAGGACATTTTATTGGATTTATTAAACGAATAAAACCGCTTTTTTGGTTTGATTATCTACTACTATTTTCTGTCAAAATTCAAATAAGTCAAGGCAACCTATAGAATGCGAGTAAATATGTATCTTTTTATATATAATATAAATTTAGATTTTTTACTCGCATTCTATAGGTTGCCTTGACTTATTTGAATTTTGACAGAAAATAGTAGTAGATAATCAAACCAAAAAAGCGGTTTTATTCGTTTAATAAATCCAATAAAATGTCCTAATGAAAACGCTTTAAACCGAAATTAAAGAATACAATGAACAATAGATTCAATGAATATTTAAAATTAGTTCCATATAAGATTTTATTCTCAGAATTGTTTTTTCATCACAGAAATTTTGAAAATTTTGGGAGTTTCAACTTTGGCGTCGAATTCCGAAGACATGGGCAATGTCGAACGATTTGGACTATTTTTTTAGTAGTGCCGTGATGTATTAAGAGTAGGTCCTACCGAAAATAATAAAGGTAAGTCCAATTATATAGGCCACGTAATTCAAAATGTCTGCAAACATCCGTTTTTTGTATTCTTAGGTATACCGCGGAACCTGTAGGTGATGGAAAATAATTTTGTATGGGACTTTTACTCAGGAGCACCCAAATATCATGGAAAACTTGAAATGGTTCGTGGAAATTTCATAAAGTTTAATTTTGTGTTCCTGTGTAGTTAATAATATGCTGCTTATTACAGAATTAACTAAAAGTTTTAACAAGTAACCACTAACTATTGATCTAATATAATATAGAAATTCGCATCTAATGGTAATGATTATATTGCAATGAAATCGTTGCCTTTAATTGCAGAGGGAATAATTTAAAGTATCTAACTGCTCCAATTTAATTTCAGATCCTAAAACGTTTCTAAGTACAAATTAACAAATATTTAATTGGATGAATAATAATTTTGATTCAAAATCTATGCAACAATAAATATAAGAGAACCCTGTAAAAACGACACAATTAAACAAACATTAAAACAATTACAAGTTAATACTGGCTAAACTTATTTACCAGAAATTTGACTTAAATTTTGTTCCGTCACAATTCAATTTAATTTTCGAGACATTTGAAAATATCTTTTTTCAGATCAGAGAGAGAGAGAGGGGGTATTTTTTCTCCATGGAATTGTATGTATTACCTAGCTTAAAGGTTATTTTTTGCCAAGTCCCGACAGAATACCTAGCTATGTGCTTAGGTATTGTGCCGACGCTCAACGCAATCCCCTTTTGAAATTGTTTACTTTACCTTAGAAACCTTCCACTTTCCCGTTATTTGGAAGGTAGCAAATTGGAGGCCAACAACTATAGAGGAATCTCTATGTTGTCGGCCATTCCAAAAGTGTTCCAAAATTTCATTACTCCTCATTTGCAGCACCTGTGTAGATCAATCATTTCTCCAAGCGAAGATCAACAACAACCAATCTCTTGGAGCTCACTTCCTTTATTATAAAGGGCTACCGAAATAACTTTTAGACAAATGTAATCTATACTGATTTCTGTAAAGCATTTGACTACGTTAACCATACTCTTCTTGTTCGGAAACTCGATTTAAAGGGATTTCCGATTGATCTTAATTGGATCTCATGTTATCTGAATGGCAAGACGCAAAAGGTCCACATTAAAAATAAACTTTCTAATGTGGTAAGGGTTACATCTCCCGCGAGGGGGTCATTATTTATCAACGATATGCCCAAAATTTTGACTAACTCTAGAGTACTTATGTTCGCTGACGACGTCAAACTTTGTGTGCAATATATGGACGCCTCTTGCTAGTCAGACTCACAGATTGTAACAATTTTCAAATATGATTCCGCGTAAACTTATTAAACTTTAATGGCTCTAAGTGCAAGCAAATTAAATTTTTCTGTGTCGTTCCTTAGCCTGCAAACTATACGCTGAACTGCTGCTCTTTGGAAAGAATTAATATAGCTGATGATTTTGGCGTCCGTCTGGATCCTAAACTTGACTTTATCGATCATATTTCGTGCCTGGTGAATTATGCCGGGGTGTGCATGGTTTCATTAAACAGTGGTCGAAGGAATTTAATGACCCCTATGTTACAAAATCCTTATATACTTCCTTCCTTCCCTCAGTATGGCGTCCACGTTTTTTTTTTTAATTTAATTTTTTTGGTATTAGAAAAGTTTGCTGCTACAACCTTTAGTGTATTATTTTATTATTAATTAACCATTTGTAGAAGAGTTAGTGAATATCATGTCCTCCTTCTTAGTTCAGGCGCCGGGTAGGCAGCTCCCGGATTGTGACACTCTGCAGTCGTCTTCGTGTAGTTCTCGTTCCGAGTCTTCTGGCCAGCGTTTTGAGGTGGTGTTTTGCATTTTTGCCCTTGTCTGCTTGACGTTGGAGCTGAACGTCAGCCTCTTGTCGAGGACCAGTCCCAGATAGGTGTGCTCCATAAGTTGTGGCAAGAGCTGACCGTGGAGAAAGACACCTGGACACGTGCCACTCTTCAGGGTGTATGTGACCACCGCACACTTGTCTGTGTTGATGGCCACATTCCATCTACAGGCCCAGTTCTCATACTTCTTCAGGAGTATCTGAAGCTTGTCTGAGGCACTGTAGATGCAGCTTGATCTTACCAGCACTGCAGTGTCATCTGCATAGGTGGCAACACATGATAGTTCCTCGGAAAATGTCCCAGTCTCAGGGTTGCGTTGTAGACTAGAACCAAGAAGAGAAGTGCTTTGACCGGAAGGACTTCTGAAAGAACGATTGGGGCAACAGGAAGCATCATTTGGTGCGGAACGTCCAGGGTGGCACTGACTTGGGTACCGGGTGCCTTTGTGGGTCCCGCCCTTGTTGGTCCCGGGCGCCTTTGTATGTCCTGGGCGCCCTTGTTGGTCCCGGGCGCCTTTGTATGTCCTGGGCGCCCTTGTGGGTCCCGTGCGGCCCCGAGGGTCGTGGGCGCCCACAGTAAACGCATAAAAGCGGTTCAAACGAACTTTTTACTTTTCGCGGTTTAAACTGGGATACTAATAGACTCCTACTAATTAACTTACCCTCTTTATCTAATCGTAGAACCATGCTAGGTATTACATTTATATATAACCTAATCCGCGGTGACGTGGAAAGTGCTGACTTGCTGGGTCAGCTTAATTTTCACGTACCTAGTGGAAACACTATTTAGTTTTGCCCCACTGTAGAGCATCCTTTGAATTGCATGAACCCTTTAGAGTGATTTGTGCAAATTACAATGATGTATACACCATGGCATCTAATGTAGATAGACTTCCTAAACGAAAAACTTTAATCTTAAGCCACTTAGTACGTATGCAGGCAACCAATCCGCCGACCATACTGCAACGTCTTACCAAAAAAAAAATTAGCGTTCTCGACATTTTTGTTTGCCTGGCCTCAGTGGCCCAACTGGTAAGCGACCGTTCTGCGAATTCTGAGACATCCCGACCGAGAATTAAGAAATGTAAGTTGTTTTTTTTACTAATACTATACTAATATGATTGTTTTAAATTTTTTAATTTAATTATATATATATATATATATATATATTGTTCCTGTTATATATATATATATATATATATATATATATAATTTAATTTATATAAATAATCTATGCATTCCATTTTCTATGTTGTCAGCAACATTTCACCAATTCGCCCTCCATAATTATGCAAGTTAGGCCACCGATTATAGAAAACAAACGTCAAATTACCGAACCGATCGAAAACCGAAGTAAACCAACTGTGTGATTGTGATCAGCCTGAATGGAGGCAGCAGTCTCGATCATCCTTTTTTGCTCATACCGAGTCGAGAGTGATCGGAACTGAATGTTCGCTGTTGATGCAAAATTTTGCGTCACAAAAAATCCAAATCAATGATCGGATATAATCGAAAATATGTTGATCGTTGCAGCTCTCTGTTATAGATCGCGAGAGGAGAGCAGCTCACATTAAACGAGATATCGGCAAGTTCACAACGGTTGCCACAGAATATTGGGCGATAGGAACGGACGCATGTAATGCTAGCTGTAGAAGCTGCTAGGAATATTGAATATTTTGACTAAAAGTTCTTTAGAGACATATATTTTAAAAGATGAAATAGATATTCGAATAAAATTTTTTTTTAACCGTTGCTAAAATTGTTCATTTCTTCCGCTCTAGTTTAGCCTTGAATGAAAGTAATTAATTGAATACCGTACCGTACCAAATAAAGACATTCAAGGATTGAGAGAGAAAGAGAGAGGAGAGAGAGAGAGAGAGGAGAGAGAAAGAAAGAGAAAGGAGAGAGAGAGAGAGAGAAAGAAAGAGAGACAGGAGAGAGAAAGAAAGAGAAAGGAGAGAGAGAGAGAGAGAGGAGAGAGAAAGAAAGAGAGAGGAGAGAGAAAGAAAGAGAAAGGAGAGAGAGAGAGAGAGGAGAGAGAGAGAGGAGAGAGAGAGAGAGGAGAGAGAGAGAGAGGAGAGAGAGAGAGAGGAGGAGAGAGAGAGAGGAGAGAGAGAGAGAGAGAGAGAGAGAGAGAGAGAGAGAGAGAGAGAGAGAGAGAGAGAGAGAGAGAGAGAGAGAGAGAGAGAGAGAGAGAGAGAGAGAGAGAGAGAGAGAGAGAGAGAGAGAGAGAGAGAGAGAGAGAGAGAGAGAGAGAGAGAGAGAGAGGAGAGAGAAAGAGAAAGGAGAGAGAGAGAGAGGGGAGAGAAAGAAATAGAAAGGAGAGAGAGAGAGAGAGGAGAGAGAGAGAGAAAGGAGAGAGAGAGAATGAGAGAGAGAAAGAGAGATTTTCGTACAGAAGAAAGGCAGACTTCAAATAAACTCTAAAATTAAGAAAAATCATTCTTAACTTATTTTATTTTTCTTTTGAAATATGTTATTTACATATATAATAATTACTTTACAATATCGACCAACTAAATTATGTTATGGGTATATGTATATATTATATACTAGAAACTGGCGTAACCCCAAAAAATGCATTTTAAACAAATTTTCTTATATGAATATACAATACACACGGATTACTTCTTTCGTTTTGCTAATATTCACAAAAAAGTAATAAAAAATCTGAACGCTATATATGAACTAATTTTTTAATTTTTTCTTTTTTTTTTTTTTTGTTGTAATTAATAGCATTGTTTTAATTTATGTTGCCGTTTGATGAATTTATTTTAATTGTGTACAGCTGAGGAATGTTGAATGCTACGTTCAAATTCTTCTAAACTAAGCGCTTGGTTTTGATTCAAATGAGGAAGCTTTCCGGCTGAGGCTTTGGCCAGGAGCTCTGGCGAGAACCATTGCGCCAATTGATTATTGGTTGGAGGTGATTGCGTTGGCATCCGATCATCTCTGTCGTAGCTAGTACTCTTAACTACATTTCCGGAGTCGCCGCAAAGATCATGAAAGCCACCTGAAAATGTACATTGGACATAATTAAATCACAAATTTTTGTTATGTTATGTGATCTCGGGTAACTTAAAAAGGCAGGTTTATTATCAAGTTGAAAAGACCTTAAGAGCATCTCTTTAATCTCTTTGACTTAAAAAAGGCGACAAATAACAGCGAAGAAGAATATGGCTTTTTTTTTTTTTTTTAATCTGGCTTACCAGCTAATAAAGGTGTCGAAGTCATTGGGAAATTCGATTGATGATGATGCGGCTGCTGCTGTTGCAGATCGCCATAAATCACTCGAGGTCGAAGAGGTTGTCGCTGCTGCTGGTGATGCATCAAGAGATTTTGCTGCTGCTGGAAATTATTCTGAGGGAACCCATCAGGAAAACTTATATTTTGATGCAAGCTTTCTGTATTTAAATTTGATTCTACTGAAGTCTTAAAGCGAAGTTGTTGCTGCTGCATCTGTTGGTGATGCTGTTGCTGCTGCTGAAGATGCTGTTGTAACTCTATTTTTTGGTTTAAAGAAACGACTGCCGGAATTTGAATTTGCGGCATTGAATTGGGGCCTCCTTTAAGTATGGGGCGTCCTGGAAATACCGATAAATAAGTAAATTATTGTCAAGAAGTCTACCATTAAGATCTTGTTATTGCCTTATTTTAATTTCAGTCAGAAAGACTAGTTTCCGACCATATCAAGTATATATTCTTGAGCAACAGCAGCCAGCCGAGTTGATCTAGCCATGTCCGTCAGTCCCATTCTACGCAAACTTGTCCCTCAGAGATGTCTGAATGAAACATTGCCCAGTCTTCGAACTTTTTTAAATTAGTATTTTGTATCGTATCACAAAAACGCGCCAGGAAATGGACTTCTCCCAGTTTATCCAACCAACAGTAATCATAATGTACTCTTTCAAATACTATTAATTTTTAACCATGGAATATCAAAATGATCAATGTGTCGCAGTCAAAGTCAGAAAGAAACTATTACGTCAATTGATTGGCCTCGAAACTTTCAGTCCACTATAGAGAACGTTAGCATCCTATTTGAGGAACTAGGATCCAAATTTCCAATTGCCGGTGACTGGTAAATTCACTATCGACATTGGGGATCTCGAAATTCTCCATCCAATGGTATCCAGGTCCTTGCATTGCCCGTACAGCCTACGGACGCCTCAGCAATCGACTTTGCCATACATGAAGTAATTCGCTCTGAGCTTATCTCCATCTCAGATAGCTTGAGACTAAGTACTGATCACATTCCTATAACCCAACTAAGAACTGCTGCTCACAAGCTGCATATTCTCTTCAAAACGCGTGCATTCCACGGTTTCAGGCAGCCATTGATCAACTTGTAAACCTCAACATGGTTCTAATCTCCACTGAAGACATTGACGACGTCACTGAGCTATTTGTCCGATATATCCAAATCGCTTCAGATTTTCTAACCTGTGGGCCAGGTTCAATGAACCTGGATCTGGTTAGGTCTTACGTCGCAGAAGCATGGGGTCGAGAGATCCGTCCGACAAAAAAGAATATTGTCATCCTAAGGACGAAGAAGTTTCTATATAAAACGAAAATCGGTTATTTCGCTGATTTGCTAGGCAGTGCTGACCCCACAAAACCCGCTCTGGAAAGCAGCAAGATACTTAAAGGCTACCCACTCGCAGAATCCCTATGAAGCGTGCTGCCAACACTTGATACAGATCGGATGCAGAAATTTCCTTTTGACCTTGCTAAGCGTGAGGACGTGCAAGCATCATATACTGTTCTTCCTTCCAAGTGAAAGGCTATGTCGATAATATGATTATCGATAATATGATTATCTGCTTCGTAAAAACCTGTAAAAAGGCTATTTCTTTAGCGATTTTGGCTTTTGGCTGTGCGACAACATGTCAACATGAAAATGTCATAGCTCCTCATTTCCAGCACCTAAGTAGATCACTTTACTCTAAAGGGCATTCATAATAACTTTCAGACAGATTATCTATACTGAATTCAGTAAAGCATTTAACTCTGTTAACCATTACTTTCTTGTTCAGAAACTCAATATAATATGATTTTCTGTTGATCTTCTTAGCTGGATCTCAAGTTATCTGAATGTCAAAACAAAAGAGGTCCTCTTAGCTTTTATAATGTTCTCAGGGAGTCATTTTGGTGCCCTAATGTTTACATTATTTATTAATGACCTGCCGAAAGTTTTGACTAACTCCAGAGAACTTATTTATGCTGACGACGTCAAACTTTGTGTATTATATAAGGACCTTGCTTGCCAGTCAGACAGATCTTAACAACTTCCAAACATGGTGCCGCGTGAACTAATTAAACTTAAATGGCTCTAAATGCAAGACAATGACATTCTCTTGTGACGTTCCTAAGCTTGGGAATTATATGTTCAACTACTGCTTTTTGGAAAAAATTAATATAGTTGAAGATTTGAGCGTCCGTCTGGATCCTAAACTTGACTTTATCGATCATATTTCGTGCATGGTGAATTAAGCCAGGGGTGTGCTTGGCTCCATTAAACGATGGTCGAAGGAATTTAATGACCCCTAGGTTACAAAATCCTTATATACTGTACTAGTTCGTCCTATTCTAGAATATGGATCCTGCGTATACCCTTTAGAGTCCTATGTGCATGATCTGTACTCAATAACATCCAACGTAGACAGCCTTCCTAAAGCCTAGTACTGAGAGAACGAAAATTCGATGTCAACATTTTGACAGCGGCTAATCTCTATATAAAAAAAAAAAACGCTGCGAAATAATGAACAAAAAACTTTTTTCCTCGTCATTTTTGCGGGTACTGGCAATAAAAATGATACCTGTTAGGCGTTGCCAAATCAAGAGAGTGAGCAGCTGAGATTGTGCTGTCACAATAAGTAATTTTAATTATTCTTACAGGCATTATGGAGGGCAAGTTGAAGGAAAAAGGATCGATAAGGGCGATAGGTGCGGTCAGGGTATTTCAATTTTGCACTTATAAAATTTGTTTACAAACAGATGTTCAGTATTGTCCCTTTTATGGCGTTTCATGGCTTTTCCTTAATTTCTTTGGTCACACTGGTTACCGAGCAAAATATATAGCGATTGTGCTATCACAATTATGACAGCGGTTTTTCGTTCTCTCAGTACTAGGCTTTAACTGAAATTTGTAATCCTAACCAATCTGGAACGCTTGCAAGCAATTAATCAGTCAGCACTCCAGTAGTAATTTCCTCGCACTCCATTCTTTTATTTCCTTCGGGCCTTAAACGAACAAGCACGTTCTTGGTGTCGCAAGGGCCACTTGTACGGACTGTCGGGTCGGGTCATTCCTTAATATTGCCTGCCCAGATGTCATGCAAGAAAGGAAGAAGTTTGTCTTCAAATTGAAAAATTGTGCTCCGGTAAAGCTCCAGGATTCGACGATAACGATAGCAGAGTTGTTAAGGGAAGGGTTTTTCTGGCATAGCGACATAAGTCCGCCGCCATAAGTTCGCCCAGTACATTTGGTCCGCGAAATTATGGCGTTTTTTTCCGGCGATCTTATGTCGCCGAAAAGCGTCATAAGTTCGCGCGAAATTATGGCGTTCAAAAATTACTTGCGGCGGACTTATGACTCTTCAAAGCGCCATAAGTTCGCCAAAGAAAAAACGACATAATTTCGCCAGCCGCGATCTTATGTCGCCAAAAAGCGTCATAAGTTCGCGCGAAATTATGGCGTTCAAAAATTACTTGCGGCGGACTTATGACGCTTCAAAGCGCCATAAGTTCGCCACAGAAAAAACGACATAATTTCGCCAGCCGCGATCTTATGTCGCCGAAAAGCGTCATAAGATCGCGCGAATTTATGTATGTATACATACATATGTTCATACATTTATTTCATTTGTTTGTACATTGTAAATATGTACAACCTGTAAAAATACAAAAAAATACCAAAATTTTAGTTTTCTGGCCGATTTTTATATGAAAACACTGCTATGTAAACATTGTATTATGAAAAATTTGTTTTGGACTTAAAGTTTTTTTTGTGTACATATATGTACATATATATAAAACTTTAAATCCAAAAAAAAAACTTAAATATAAATTTTCATAATCAGGCCTGCTCCGGTAATCGAAAACGGCAAGATTTTTTCGTTTTCGTTTTTGAAAACGAGAAATTGGTGCTCCGGTAATCGAAAACGAAAGATTTTTTCGATTTGAAAAACGGGCACCTTTTTCTGGCCGGAATGAAAAGTAAATGGTTTTTTTTATATGAAATCAGATCTTATTTACAAAAGGAAAAAAATAGTTTACTCAGTGGTCTATTGATGTTTATTCCACACCACCACAAGATCATTCTGACAGGTAATTATTTTATAAAAAATTTATTTCTGACCCCACCTCAGATTTGACAACGAAAATTTTGCCGTGCTCAACCAGTTTTCTCGTTTTGGCGATAGGTCGATAAGTTCACCGCAAAAAGTTATCGCCAAGGTTGCCATATTGTTGGTGGAACGAAACAGCCAGTTAAAAATACTTATAAAATATAAATGAATACATTAATAACTTTAAAGGACCGCCAAAATGGTTGCTTATAATTAATGCTATTTAATGTGATTACTTAAATGGTCCAAATTAACCAAATAAAAATAATTATTTGAGACCACCGGAATTAAAACTGTGAAAAGTGTGGCAGCATCTTAGGTGCCTGGATTTGCTTAATTCTACCATTTTTTGCCTTTTTCTGGCTTAGAAAAAGGGCAATTGAAAATATAATAGGCAGTACTTTACGTTGTTTGCTTATTACCAACAACACAAGTTAGCTGCTTGAGCAGAGAGAAACGATGAGAAAACGAAACATCCGATAGCAGAAATTTGCCGAAAACCGGAGCAGCTAAAAACGAAAACGGTTCGTTTTCGCCCAAAACGAAATCGAAAAAATTTTACGATTACCGGAGCAGGGCTGAATACAATGTTTACATAGCAGTATTTTAATATAAAAATCGGCCAGAAAACTAAAATTTTGGTATTTTTTTATATTTTTAAGAGCATTTTTATATTTAATTTTTCGAATGAAAAACAAACGAAATGATTTCCCTTTTTCTAAAAAATCTTCTCTAATAAGTTGCTTTTCAAGAAAATATAAAGTTATTTATACGAAAACGTAAGGTAAAAACATAGAAAATCTTGTACCGCTCGCGATGTAACGTTACAAATCGGTTTATAATATAATATATATCATAATATGTAATATTTTGAATTGAAGTGTACTGAATTTGTATTATAATGAAATAATGGGAAAAAATATGACCATTTTCTTAAATGTTTTTTTTGCACGATCGATGCATTTGACCAGTACTAATTGTATTATAAAAGGCAAGCTTTAGGGAATTGTCACATTTAAATTATTTGCAGAAAACAATGCATCGCAAACGGTACAGAAAACCTAAGTCTTGTTTGACTTCAGCCTGAAAAACTAAAATCACAATAAAATACTGTTGCTTTCCATTCATGAAAGTTATTTTTATTTTATAGGGTCTTCCCACACATCGTCAAAGCAAAGGTTTAGCAGTGCCGAATTTACCCAAATGGACCGCCGTTAGAACACATTAAAATCTAACCACGGTTTGTTTGGCGATAGTTAGGCGATAGTTTTTCGGTGCAACTCTGAAAATTTGACCATCACTACGAAAGTGTATACACACTTGGCGAGGAACAAATGAAATATGGAATTTAAAATGTGGCGCCAAAGCTACAAGCATGCCCAAAATAGTTGTTAGCGTTTTTTCTGTATATTCTTGCCCCAATATGTCCCCAATTGTTACTATTTAATATAAACCACCGGCCTCTATCTTATTTTAAAGATTTTGGATGCCTATACCACCTATAGACACTCTTCGGGGAATTTGCTGTTTATTAAAGAAAAATCATTAGAAAAACTAAAATTCCTTGTCATTTAATTCATTTAAATTTAGTGCAGATAAATTCTGACGCAATCTGTGCCTTTTGCTGATGTACAACAGCCAAAATAGTTGGTAAATGCTCTATTTCAAATTTGCAACTGCCAATTCGACAGTCTTTGTTTACGTTTTCATGAGCCGTAGCTGATCGATCAGCTGTTCGGATGGTGAATGTGCTTTGACGGTGTGTGGGAACACGAGTTTCACATTTGTGAAAAATCCCAAACGTTCCTCACAAATGTGCTGTGTGGGAAGACAGTATTAGAAGCTAATTTCAGATTTGTAACGTTACATCGCGAACGGTACAAGATTTTTATATGTTTTTACCTCACGTTTTTGTATGAATAACTTCATATTTTTTTGAAAAGCAACTTATTGTGTACTTAATAGATATCAAAGAGAAATTGTTGTAGAAAACATTTTGTTTGTTTTACATGCAAAAACTGAAATATAAAAATCACTTAAAAATACCATAAAATACCAAAATTTTCGTTTTCTGGCCGATATAATGGTTATTGATGTATGTACATACATGTTCATACATACATACGTACATCCAAATTGCGAAATGATGTATTTTTTCCTATGGCGAACTTATGGCGCTTTGAAGCGTCATAAGTCCGCCGCAAGTAATTTTTAAACGCCATAATTTCGCGCGAACTTATGACGCTTTTCGGCGACATAAGATCGCGGCTGGCGAAATTATGTCGTTTTTTCTGTGGCGAACTTATGGCGCTTTGAAGCGTCATAAGTCCGCCGCAAGTAATTTTTGAACGCCATAATTTCGCGCGAACTTATGACGCTTTTCGGCGACATAAGATCGCGGCTGGCGAAATTATGTCGTTTTTTCTGTGGCGAACTTATGGCGCTTTCAAGCGTCATAAGATCGCGCGAAATTATGTCGTTTTAAAACGGCGAACTTATGGCGGCGGACTTATGTCGTTACCCCGGTTTTTCTATTCCTGGTCTTCCTGTTCAACTCCATGTTGCGTATCAAAACCAAACAATTATATGCTATGTGTAAACAAGAAAGGAAGCTAATTTCGACACGCCGAATTTTTTATACCCTTCCAGTTTTCTATTAGATCATAATTATATTTTTATCTTTACAGTTACAGTTTTACATTCACACCTTTACATTTTCACAACATCTGCCGATCGTTCCTATGCTAACTATATGATATAGATGTCTTATTTTCGGCATGCCGAAGATAGATTCCTTTCTTGTTGGAAATGGAATTTAGTTAAACCTAAATATAATTTATTGTCACTTACCAAATGCCTTTCCAGGCATCATGTGTATATTGGTAACACCGGAATTCCATTTTATTTGATTTTGATTGCTGCGACATTGCTGTTGTAAAGTTGGTGACATTTGCTGTGGATTTGGACCAAGAGCAAAGTTACCACCGCCACCCAATATCATTCGTGGATGTTGTTGTTGCACTGTCATAGTTGGTGGCTCTTGTTGCTTGACATGTTGTGGATTCAATTGATAGTGCTCATTAAGATGCTGATTCTGAGATGAGTTCTGTATTTGCGAAGGTGTTGTATCTTTGTCTGCAGTCATTTTCCTTAACACTGATGTGGGGGTAAAAGCCAAGGTAGTTTGTGAATTGTTGTGGCCGTGGCTGTGCGCACTGTTAAGCTGCTGATTAATTCCATGATGATTGGTCGGGTTTAGGTGAATTAAATCTGGAAGCACATTATAAATAAATTAAACAGGCAGATACAATTAAGGAAAATTTGCAGAACTACGAGCTTGAGCATTTTTATAATAGCCCGTATACGCTAGGGTTTTAAGATGTTTGAAGACAGTTTTGGTTTTCTTGTTTTTTTTTTCAAAGTACCGGTGGTAAGGGCTAAGGGCCAAGGCTAGATCAGCACATTTTAGCTGTGCGAAGCCCCACGTCGCAACAACAACATCAACATGGAGCATTAAATGTGTTCCTTTTTGTATTACAATTTTACCATTACCATTATTATTATTAGTATTATTACCTAGTTTAATTAGAATTAAGATGACACGAACAATGAGCAATAGAAACGGTTAATTAAAAAACAATAAAAAAAAAACGATTAAAATTAAAAACTTGTCCTACCTCGTACCTGCAAAATAACTCATCGTGCCAACATTTTTATATATATAGCAATTTGTTTTTGATAAAATTTCTAAATCTTATTTTTAAAATAACTATATTTTGGATTTAAAATATCTATTTTAATAGAAATTAATAATAATTAATATATATGCTACACGATAATACAGTAATAACAACTTTTATTACATTTACCTATACATCCTATATTTACTGTTCTACAGTTACAGTTTTACATTCACAGTTTTAAATTGTTTCTAAATCTACTGATCATTCAAATGGTAGCTACCATATATGACATAGTCGTCCGATTTCCATTAATTAAAACCAATAAAAATAAATGGTTATATCTTAAAGGAGATGATACATTTCCCCTCAAGTTGTTGGCCGGAAAAAATAATAATCCTGCGTTTTCCAATAAGAATGCCAAAGCTCGTTTAAAATAAGCTAAAAATCACCAAAATTGGATCATTGACGATTGAAAATTATGATTGATGACTTAATGTTTAGCCGTTTTCACAGAGATGAAAAAAAGTATTTGATTCAACCAGGTGATTGAATTCAAAGAAACCATGTAAAGCAAACTGTTAAACATGGCGGTGGAAATATAATGGTTTGCATGGTGGCATATTGGACATTTACAATTAGTTGAAGGAATTATGAAAATTCAAATTCTTCAAACTAATCTTCCAACTATTTGAGAAACGTACCCCGAGAATAATATCGTTTTTGAACAAGATGAGTATCCGAAACATACAGGAAAATAGACATAGAATGGATTAAAAAGTATCAGCTATAATTCAAGGAATGGAGTGCACAATGTCCCGACCCCAATCCGATTGAAAATCTTTGGTCAATTGTGAAGACGGCTTGGACAGTACAAAGCAGCTCCAAAGAACATGGGTATCGTGTTGCAGTTGCATAGAGTCGAATTTCAAATTAAATTCTTATAAATTTGGTTGAGAGTATGACAAAACGCACAACAGAAGTTATTGCAAATAAGGGACTAAGTACTAAAATTAATTTAATTATTAAATTTTTTTGAAACATGCAAAATTGAGATCAGTTCAGTTTCAGTTTTTTTCAAAAATAGCAAAGCATAAAATAAAGTTCTAAATTGTATCATTTACAATGGTACATTTAAAAAAGTGAATAATAAACTTTGTATTATACAATTATGCCAAAATAATTTTGTTTTATGAACACAATATGTAAGGAGCCAAAACATCACCACTCAGATAATACTGCATCTAAATTACATTCATCCGAAACAACGTTTGTATTAGCTTAATGGGGGTATACATGGGGGATATACATGTAAACCAAAATTTTTAGGCACATTTTTTTTGTAATTTAATTTATTTTTATAAAAAAAAAAATAAAAAAAAATTAACCAAAAAAAAAAAAAAAAAAAAATAGTTTATTACTTAAAGAATATCCTGTATAAGTTTCATTATGGAATTGCAACTTTAAGTGACTCAAATAATGTATACACGCAAGGTATACAAGTGTTAAAGTGAGCGCATCAAAAACTTTAAATTTCTGCCTATGTTATGGGCACGATTCACAAACAACTATGTAACATATCGGAGTGAATCAAAAATGATTATCATCAGCATGAAATTATCTTCTATTTGAAACTAAATGGGGGTAAAAATTAGTATTACTATTTTTTAACGGGTGGGAAGTAAAATCTGATTCCCTGAAAATAGCATTTTTTCCTTTAAAACTAAATTGAATTTATTTGTCATAATTTCTTTTTGGTTTTTGAGGTTTAAAGAGAAGGTAAAAATTTAATGAATACAACAAAATTTTGTTTGAGAATTTCCGACACAAACTACGTGCTCTATCGTGTCCATAGCTGGGAAACTCAAAGCTCGAACGCTGCGGCATATTTTCCATAGGTCCGCTGTAAAATATTGTTTTTAACAAAATTTTTGTATCATCTCCGATTCCACTTTTAACTATCTCCAAAGTTTCACGAAGATTGCTTGACCATTTCCTACATTAAAAAATTCACGAAAAATGTCTATATTTTGACCGTTTGCATGTATATCCCCCCTTAAGTTCTTTAGACGATCTTTTTGAATATTGACTGGTACATTTTTAACCATAAATAGAATATTCAAATCGACCCGTCTGGTGATGCATCATTAAAATATTTTCCTATAGGATTCATAGGTAATATTTTTGAATACAAACCATCATGTTGTGCAAACGCTGAATGATGAGAGACTACTAAATGAGGATCGCTCTGTACAGCTGCTGCTAGATTCCTTTTAGTGTGTTGCGTATATTCACGAATAACTGAAACAATCATGTCCTTAGAGTGTAGTGGCGTATTGGGGTTATGTAAATCCTTTTCCAATACTTCTACAGAAATATCGCCACGATTAAGGTCTGAAAAATAATAAAGAATAAACAAAAAAAGATCAAGTTACGTTTTTTTAATGATTATTAACAAGACTTTAACTGAACAATAAAAGTTAATGTTGACTTACTTTGCAGAAGTTGTTGCATTTCCATGCGCTTATATTCAAACTCGTGGGCAGTACTATTAGGTGTATTCATGTTTAGCAGGTGCAGTTGTTGTGGTATTCTATGATCAGTTTTCCGAATTGGTTCTATCGGCAACTTAGGACTTAAGTTGTTAATTAAATGAAAAGAACCATCATTTGTACAATGATTTAAGGGTTGCTGTCTGACTGGAGGCTGAATTTGGGAGCCCCCCAATTGTTGAAGAAGTTTTTTGAATGCCTCTGTATCCCTAGCAACTGGCTTTTGCACTGGCATTATCTGAGAAAAGGAAACAGGAGCAGCCCTTTGAAAGTCAGATGGACGCATTTCGACTTTAGTCATTTGTGCTTCTAAATCTTTAACACTGGGAATGTCTATAAAATAGTAAAATAATTAAAGATACATTTAAAATTTCACAAATTTAGGATTTACTAAAGCTCACCATGTTTTTCTTGAACATGCAACGGCTCTTGATAGGACGATGCAGGCTCGGTATTATTCGTAACATCTTTACCACGAAACCATCTGCTAAAACGTGATGTACCTTTTATTTCGCCTTTGCCAATTTCCCCATCATTAGTCTATAATAAAAATATTGCTACAATTATTAGTTCCAAAATAAATGATATTACTTACAATAAGTGTGGAATCCAAAGGATGCATATTCAAGAAAGCATCAAAATTGAATTGAGTGTCTGAATTGGACTGATTTTTATTTGGCTTTTCCGTGGTATCATTTTTATCTTCTCCAGAACAGGCTTTATTTACTCTCATTGCAGCACTAGTTTTATCCTTATTATTTTCAGATGTTTTTATTTTGTTTTCAATTTCTACCTCACCATCCTTGTTATCATTTTCATTATTTTCGAACTCATCAAAACCGTGCAAGTCTATAGTTTCCAACTGCGAAGTTGGCCCAGAACTGAACCATTCGGGCTCCTCATTTCGATCACGATGATAAGTATTTAAACGTTTGCCGCGGCTGTTGAGAGCTTCTTTGTTATTCCCACGACGATTACTGACTATGTTTGGCCTATTATCCGTGTGCCTTTTGTTGTTATCATATTGAAAACGACGATCTATGTTTTCAGTAAGGCGTCCACTATAAGTGCGATGACGATTGTTCCCATTAAAAGAAGTTTCTTTCTCTATATCCAGGTTGCTCTCCTTTGACTCCTCGCTCTTATTATATTCCCATGAGTTTACCAATAAACGACCGCTGCCAATGCGCTGCCTTTCAAGCCTACTCGATGAAAATGTTGGAGATGAACATTGCGGAACTTGAGGATCCAATTGAACATAGTGTAAGCGTCTCTCTGTTTCTGCTCTTTCTGAATTTTCTAAATCAGAACCACTTACTTTCCAGCTTTGAGGCGAGCCCGTTTCGGTGATGGTACTGATTTTTATATGCTGAGGACTTGCAATACGATCCGTTAATTCTGGACCATGTACATCATCACATGTGTTTTGCGTTGCCTCAGTTCCATTGCCATTTCCACCATTAACAGCCGCCAAACGCCGCTTGGCAAATGCTGGCATTAAATGCGATGATGATATGCTCCGATGATCGATGATTGGCGGGGATTTAAATGATTTCTCCTTTTCTTCGCCACAAATCGGGAAAGGATCACCGCCGACGCTCGGTACAAAACGTTGATAATAGTTATTCGCTCGCTCACGATTTCGCATCGCACGTCGCGAACTTATTGAGCCATTATTCGAACTATTTAAACTCGAGTTATCCGTCTCCGGTGATAGCCTATTCTTACCTTGATTTGCATAATTACTGCAGCTGGCCAAACTTGACGACGAAGATGCTGCTACTGCATTCAAATTCACCTTCCAAAAATTCAGTGTCTGCAGCTCGACGCGATTTGAGCATTGCGGACGTTGTCGACTTTTACTTTCATAGCGCAGAGATAATAGATCTGTCCTCGAGTACCTTAAAGAATAAAAATAATACTTATATTCTAAGAATAAATCTAAACATTATTGCAGTATTATATTGAACAAGAGTATTTCAAATCTATGTATGTATGTAGTTTTATACAATTTAGAACTACAAAAAAAAAAAAAAAACAAGAAAGCAAGCTAACTTCGGCACGCCGAAGTTTGTATACACTTGCAGATATTATTTCATTACAATTTACCTATACATACTTATTATGTTTACAGTTTGACAGTTACAGTTCGACAGTTACAGTTTGCATTCCCAGCTTTACATTTTCTCTACATCTACCGATCGGTTTATATGGCAGCTATATGATATAGTTGTCCGATTTTCATAAAATTTATACCAAAATTCTGAAATAATAAAATAGGCCTATATCTTAGAGTAAATGAAAATACGTTAAAAAACAAAGAAGTTCTAATTATTTTTCTATTAATTTCCCGATCGTTCGTATGACAGCTATAAGATATAATCGTCCGATTTTCATAAAATTAAAACCAAAAATCTGAAATAATATATAAAATATCTCAAAAATGGTGTAAAAATGTTAAAAAATTTATGGAACATTTGTATGGCAGCTATCATATAGTCGTCCGATCCGGCCCGTTCCGACATATATAGCAGTGAGAGTATATAGAAGTCTATATGCAAAGTTTCATTCAGATAGCTTTAAAACTGAGGGACTAGTTTGCGTAGAAACGGACAGACGGACGGACGGACAGACGGACATGGCTAGATCGACTCGGCTGTTAATGCTGACCAAGAATATATATACTTTATAGGGTCGGAAAAGTCTCATTTAGTGATGCTGAAAACATCGATACACCGATGAAAACATACCGATGTTAAGTTATACATCGATGGTCTATTTTGAAAACATCGACGGGCATCGACATCGAGGTTTTCTGTCGAACTTGCATCACAAGTCTCCTTCACTGCGTTGCAAACTTCTGAATGAAATTATAATACCCTGCAAGGGTATAAATATATTGTTCACCCTACCCTATAGTCCAGAAATGTGCATCCATACATACAAATGTATTTACATATGTTTTCATTTACATACATAGGAAATGAACACCAAAATAAAAAAATATGTATAGGTTTCAAATAAAAAAGAAATTAACTTACTTTACATTTTGTCTTCTTGCTTCCATTTTAAATGTTGATTTCCCTTTAAATCAATTAATATTAGAAGAAACAAGTTTGGCGAGCGAAAGAAAACGTACATATATATGTGCAATACAAATGTACGTATGTATATGTTTCAAATGATTATACCAACTTTAGTTCTTTACTTAGGTTAACATAATTTTATTATAATATACCGGTTTCCATTTAAATCTTTACGCTTTTAGGAACAAAATAACAATATATACGTTATAAACAAGTTTCGGTATCTCCCTATAGTCTCAAATAAAATTTATGAAAATCACGATAAGACGGTATGGGCTCTGACGATAAGAATTTATCGACAGGCTACACTGAAATAATCGCAAGTCTGAAATTGTGGAAAAGGAACATTATAATACCCCTTATGTATACTACTTGGAGCCGCAATGATTTAGAAACCAATAAAGTTAGGGTACTCCCTAATAATCTTATACGCTTTTTCCCCACAGAGATCCATCTTCCATCCACCATCCGTTGAATTGACCGTCCGTAGGTTTTGCCAAAATTTCTGTTTGTTCTCATCCAAATTTGATGGACTTGTTTTACCGATAGTTAGGCACTGTTTTTATTTGTGCAACTCTGAGACTCTCTTCTGATCGAAATTTTTGAACACTTACCACGTAATTATTTATAATTTTTATATAATTATAGTTATATAAAATCAAAACAAGATCATTCTGGCACGTAGTTATTATATAAAAAAATCCAACTCAGATTTGACAACAACATTTTTGCCGTGTTCACCAAGATGTTTCGTTTTGGCGATAGGTTGATAAGCCCATCGCAAAAAACTATCACCTAAGAACACATTAATAACTTTAATACTGTTTTCCCACACATCGCATTTGTGAGGAACGATTGGGATTTAAAAAAATAAGTGAAACTCGTGTTCCCACAAAGCTACGTTAAAGCGCATCCGCAATCCGAACAGCTGATCGATCAGCTGTGGCTCATGAAAACGTAAACAAAGACTGTCGAATTGGCAGTTGCAAATTTGAAATGGAGCATTTACCAATTTATTTTGGCTGTTGTACCACCGCAAAAGGCACATATTGCGTCAGAATTTATCCGCACTAAATTTAAATGAATTAAATGACAAGGAATTTTAGTTTTTCTAATGATTTTTCTCTAACAAAGAGCAAATTCCCCGAAGAGTGTCTATAGGTGGTATAGGCATCGAAAATCTTTAAAATAAGGTAGAGGTAGAGCCGCCTGGCTTATATTAAATAGTAACAATTGGGGACATATTGGGGCAAGAATATACAGAAAAAACGCCACATTTTAAATTCCATATTTCATTTGTTCCTTGCCGAAAAACTATCGCCAAACAAACCGTGGTTAGATTTTAATGCGTTCTAACCGCGGTCCATTTGAGAAAATTCGGAACGGCAAAACCTTATGGGCAGTTAGTTCAACGGACGCACAGTAGCGCCTCTCGAACAATTAGCGTAGCAAAAATCCAAAAAGTCATGTTCGCAAAAACGATTTTAACCACTTACTTACTTATTAGACAGAAAATTTCCCAAGGATTTAGAATCTGCAATAAAATTTATTTTAAGATTTTTTTTGTTGAAGATATGAGCATTCAAAGTTGAACTTACTTTCGTTTTTTGCATTATACCAAAAAAAATATTTTACCCATTTTTCGACTTTCAGGTAATATTACACAAAACCATAAAACGAATGGTCATACTTTAAATGATAGATACATTTCTAAACTGGTAATTAACCCAAAAAAAACGGCACTTTGGTTTGGGCTTGTACAGGTATCCATTTTTTTCACCTTTTCCTGCCTAAAGTAGTCTATAACTTCTGAAGCCGATGAAAGCCACCGACTACACTATGTTTATAAGTTACTTGGATCTTTCCTGGACCAGAATTAACTTTCATCGGCTGCGTCGAGCTGCGTCTGCGAAAATGCAACGACATAAACCAAAACTACTCAGGATTAAATATACCAAAATACCGACACAATTTCATACATTCCAAGAAATATACTAACTGTAGCGCGTGGCGGTTACACTTTGAATTAACAAAAACAAATTTTTTTCAGTTTTCATATTATTTTTATTTGAGCAAATACATAAAAACAAACATAAGAAATTCAATAAAAAATATTTTTTAAAAATTGTTTTCATTGGAAAAAAAAATATTTTTTCACTTTGATCCCCTTTAAAAAGGCGTATTTGTGGGCGTGGTACTTTATGCAGTACATATATACATTTTACAATTACCTGTCTAATGCCGTTTAAATTATTCGATTACCTTATTTAGCCTAGTACTCTGACGAGAAAAAACCGCTGTATAAATTTAGACAGCGGCCAAACTCCATATAAAAAAAACGGTGTCGAAAAAAAAGAAGAAGAACTTTTAGACACGTCGTTTTTTTCGGTACTCTGACGACGAAAATGAAGCCTGCGAAAATTGAATAGCGTTGCCAGATCAAGATAGTAAACAGCTGATATCGCGCTGTCTAAATAATTCATTTGATTTATTTAGACACCCCTCATGGAGGGAAAGTTGAAGGAAAAATGTGGCATTGATAGGGGCTGTCAAGGGGAAGCCCATAATATGGAATTTAACCCACAAAGGACATTTTAATGCCATATTTATTAATATTTTTAATATTTTTTTGAATATTTGTTTACAAACAGCTGTCCAGTGTGACCAAGGAAAATCCTTAAACGCCATAAAAAGTACTTTTTTAATGGAATTTCAGGATTTTCCTTAATTTTTTTTGGTCACACTAGCTCGGTAGCGAAATAAACAGCGATTCCGCTGTCTAAATTAGACTGCGGGTTTTTCTCGTCAGAGTACTAGGCTTTTGGTTCAAAAGATATGATTTTTGCAACGCTAAATGAGAAAAGGCGCTACTGTGGGACGGTGAATGCGCTTTGACGGTGTGTGGGAAGACCCTATAAAGGAGCGCCAAAAATATTTTTTATAAAAAATGCTATTTAATTTGATTACATAAATTGTCAAAATGGACCAAATAATTAATTGAGCCTACCAGAATTAAAATTGTGAAAAATGTGCAGCATATTATATGCCTAGATTTGCTTAACTTCAGCATTTTTTGCCTTTTTCTGACTTCTCGAGTTCTTCACGTTATTAGCTTTCTAAAAAAAAAAAAAAAAAAAGCCGTGTTTGAGTAGTAAGAAACGACGAGAAAACAAAACTTCTGATAGCGAAAATATGTCGAAAACCGGAGCAGTTAAATAAGAAATCGTACGATATCGCCCAAAACAAAATCGAAAAAATTTTATGATTACCGGACCAGGACAATGTACATATCAGAGAGCTGAGTATGAGTATGATCGGTCCGGATCGATCAACAACGCTCAAGCCGATCACAACTCAACACAGAAGATCGCCACAACATGTTCGATCGATCTTCGCGCACAATACGAACGATCTCGTTCAGTTAGCTTGATTGCTCTGCTTCCTGATTCAAACTGATTTTTTGGTACCGGTACTGATTTTTTGGATCGGAACTGATTGTGCAAAAAAAGAACGATCAAGTCCAACGATTCAGAAGAGCTCAGGCTTCACTTATGTTGCGCATGATTTGATTGTGAATGATGCAATCAGATCGAGAATTGCCTTGGAAATGTTTTAAAAATTTTTTTGGAACATATCTACATATATAAATATTTAAATGTTTTAAAGGAAAAAAGTTGCGTTTTAACTAACTGATACAAATGACTTCAGTTTTTCTTCATAATTTACTCGTATAACTAAAATTTATGTAATGCAGAAAAAACTTAATATTTAATGCTTATTATTAATAAACAAACAGTTTGTGTCTGAGATTCTGCTAAATTTCGTCAGACTGAACCGAACCACTCGCTATGAGCAAATCAAAACCGGTGTGACCGAACGGTATGATTGCGATCGGCCTGAATGGATGCAGCTGGTCTCGATCATTCTTTGTTGCTCATACAACGCGTACGACCAAAAAAAATCATTCCGAACCAAGTCAAGAGTGATCGGAACTGAATGTTCGCTTCGATCACGCTCGCGAACGATCATTCAATTTTGTTGATGCAAAGTTTTGCGTCACAAAAAATCCGAGTCAATGATTGGGTATGATCGAAAAAATTTTGATCGTTGCAGCTCTCTGGTACATATATACCATCGTCTCTGGAGCATGCGTTGTAAGAAAATGTTGTTCTGCACTGTTGTCAATCGTTGCTTTTCTTTTTTTGTTTTGTAGACGTTTATTTTTTACAATGCTTCTCACAATGAAAGGCCGCTCAGCCCGTCTGCTGCTTCCTCCTTCTCTTCAGGGACCTCAGCGATTTCATCAGCTTGGCTGAGTCCGCCAGCATCAGAGGCACCAGAGAGTACACCGTGATCTCTAACCTTGCTACCGCCGTGCCTTGCTTTGCCGCACTTTAGGCAGCACCCCTTTACCTCCTTGGCCATCGAACACCGCCGTTTTAGATTCACTGAATCCGGGTTGCAGGCTTTGAGCCTTCACTGCGCCTTCGCTAAGCTGGTACTACTTCGAGAGAGCGGTACGGATCTCATTCTCAGTCGTGATCACATCGAGGTCGCGAATCTCAGTCGCTGACCACCTCTGCCACTTCTGCGAGCACCCTAGAGATACTGCCCTTCATGAACTCGGCGCTCTCCGAACTGATTACCCCTCGCTGTGCAGCGAACCTTGTTGGCAGCAGCTCCAAGGTCAGCTGGCTGTCATCCCTCCGCGTGACCAGCGCCAAGATTTCGCTTAAGCTTTACCCGATGCCTCCACTATCACTGTGCCGCGATCTGGGGGTCGGCTTTTTTTTTCTGACTACAGGTTTCCTTTGCCGATTTTTAACAGCCTGTAATAGCCCAACCAGTTTGAGGTGCGATGGGAAATTCAATACCAAACCCTCTGTTAACTTTAACCCAAGAAATGACTGAAAATTGTAGGAAAACCCGGCCAGGCTTAGCCGGCCGCATAGTTTGGGCCGACAGCGAGTGCTGGCGGTGTAACATCCGATCCAAGGTGGCAACCCTTTCGACGAGTGCCGGCTGTGATCCGACCTGGCGGATACCTAGGACCTAGCTTGAAGACCCTCCCTTAGAAACGTGTCCCCATAATCGATCCCCCTCGGTCTCCTCGTGCCGTGAGCCAGACCCAATAAGCGCTACCGCTGACCCCTTTCGCTTTTCTGCAAATTCCAAAACAAGGCAGTTTCGTACTCGGTAACCCGGTGGCTGACATTCCCCATCTCACGTCCTATCTTTATAAATTTGTCTGTAAAGAGATCCTGGCGTCACTGAGCTTCACCCCAGTCATAGCACTACTTCACATATCTGAGAAAACTACACTGCACCATGTAGTTGAATTTTCCGAGGCATTATGTTCATGACTAAAACTGCGGTTAATGTCTTTAATTATTCACAAACAAACCTAAAAAAATAATCGTATATCCCAGAAAAAAAGTGTATGTTTATGAATGAAGTGGATTGTATTATGTATGTTTTTAAATATTTTATACTTTTATTAAATTTAGTTCAAGGAGTAAGCGGTCTTAGAATACTTTTAAGCAGGTGAGATTAGCGTGCTAGTAAAGTTCAACTGTATCGACTGCCGAAAACATAAAATGTGCGGAAAAAGAATGTAAAGAAGCAATTACAATTATAATAACAATATTGATATGCAGTTAAATGACCGAACTATTTCTCAAAAATTGTTTATTAATAATATTGTAACATAACGTCATAAATAATATTTTCATTGTTCATTATAAATTAATAATCAATAATAACTTATAACACCAAAAACAATATTATTATTACAAATGTAATAGAACAAAAAAATAAATTTACAATTCCCCTTACTTACCCGTTTAAGAAAAATTAAACTAAATAAAAGGAAAAATCACCATTCATTTTAGAAAACTTTGGCTTTTGGCTTTAGTTTAGTTTATGATAAATAAATAAATAAATAAAAAAAAAAATAATATATATATATATATATATTTATTTATCATAAACTAAACTAAAGCCAAAAGCCAAAGTTTTCTAAAATGAATGGTGATTTTTGGCTTTAGTTTAGTTTATGATAAATAAATAAATAAATAAAAAAAAATAATATATATATATATATATTTATTTATCATAAACTCATTATATATAAAACGTTACGATTTAAATATTTTATATGTTTATATTTCATGAAAATTATAATGCTCAGTGCAGTGATTTTAAAATACATATGCCTACAATATGTTTAATCCGTTTCCCGTCTTTACTCAATTAAACAATTATTGAAGCACGCATGTTTCCAAACCAATATTTAGATTGAAAAGTTAATTAAATTAAGAAGATTAGGAGTGAGAATTTAAATAATTTAAAATCCACGAAAGTAAAGAATGGAGGCAGTGGTACAACGTCTAAATGGAATGTAAACAGCGCAGACGCGTCCATTTTTGGACACGCCCCGCCCTTATGACCCTGCGAAAATCAAATCTCATTGGTAGGTTTTTCCGAGGCACACATACAAAGGTAGATTTTTTGTAGTGTATCCTTAGTTCTATGTTTCCTATTGGTTAGAATTTCAAGATTTGATGAGGACTCTGTACATGGGGTTCCAACAGTATCAGTAAAGTTGCTTCATATTCAGTTTTCGTACTTAATTCGTGACGCGATATCCTAAGGATTGTCCTAAGGATTCTGGTAAAATTTTAAACAAGATCATTTTTAAACAAATATTAAGTTAATTAAAATATGTTTTTTGAGAACGGATAAATATTGCATGGATTTCTACTGCGTTGTTAGGTAACTTAATTAATTGGAAATAGACGTTTAATTTTTTATTCATAAAAATGAAATACTTAAAAAATAGCTTAATTAAATACCCGGGCCATGTTAAAAAAAGAACAAAATTCCTCAAGACCTCCTTAGTATTCAATTTTCCGTACTTATTAATTTCATATTTAAAAATCGATATGTAATTTAATATCATACGTAAGAAATTATAAAACGGTAAAGAACAATATTGGGCAGAAGACATTACAAGTATTACAAAGATAATCATATATCCGCTTAAGTTTTGATTTTCAAAATGTAGGTAAGTAAGTTTAACATCCTAAATAAGAACTACACGGAAGTAAAACAAATGAGCTAGAAAACAATACCATAAGGAATAAAAAATGAAATATTCCCGTATAGCTTCGGTTCCCAAAAAGTTCAAAAATAAACGCCGAGCTAAACTAGACCAAAAAAACTTAAAAACAAAAACAATTTGTTTTTGATAAAATTATCTCAATTTTCTATATATTTATTTAATTTTCTGTTTCCTTAGGCAGCTAAATGATATATTCGTTCTATGTATATAGTGAGTGTAGTCATAATACTATTTGCAAAGTTGTATTCAGATATCTCTAAAACTAAGAAACTAGAAACGGACAGAGGGTCTTCCCACACAGATCCATCTGTCATCCACAATACGTTCCAAATTTTCTCATTGACTTGTTTCGCCAATAGTTAGGTGATAGTTTTTCCGTGCAGATGTGATGACTTCTTCTTGACAGTGAAAATGTAAGCATTCACTAGGAAAATGTAAACAGAAATAGGGCAGGTGCCACTGCTACAATATATCATTTTTAATATACATATAATGTCTACATCTCCCCTATTTTACATATTTTTAAGAAGTTTTGGTCTTCGTTAGCGAAAAATCATCTGAGGATCTCGATTTACTCGCATCTCATCATTATTTAAGCCTAGTACTCTGATGAGAAAAATCCGCTGTCTAAATTTAGACAACGCACTATGGTCCAGAATCCTTTTTTTTTTTTGGCATAAAGTCGAAAAATTGAGCTACAGTGTTTAAACTTCGCAGATTTTATTGTTGTGGCATTAACAACTTGTGTACAAAAAATTGGGCCAGTACGACCACGCCCACTCTTGCCGCCCCTGCAAACTGATTGATATTTAATTTATCATTTTTATTTATATACCTAATTACCATTTATTATATACATAATAAACGCATATATAATGAACAAGTTGTTAAAAAAAAGTGAGATATTTTTCCGAATTTATAATTAGAATTATTGGAAGAAATGAACCGTTCAAGAACATAGTTACATTTGGGAAGATATTTATGAATATCACTAAAAATTAATGCATTTTTAATCTATTTCCTTTATTTTCTTGGATTTCACAGTGTCTTTATTAATTTTGGTGCATAGTCACTTCGATACAGATTGAATTTTTCGATTGTTGCTGCTCCATAATTTAAAAAGTTCGCTGTGACTAAACTACTATATTACCAAAATGTTAGAAAAGGGGGACGAACGGGGATGAGTATTTTGTTTGTGGTTAAAGACAACACCCACGAGTACAATCTGGACCAATTAGTTGCTGTCAGCATGGAGCAGCTTATTAGTTATATTCCACGAAACACGGAGAACGCATGTTAGTTTTCTAAAAACATACACATAAATTGGACATTACACAACACTAAATACGTAGAACTACACATAAAATAACAATATACATTAAATAGTGCGTACCTTTAAGATTATTTTCCATATTTTAGTTGAATTTTTTGGACCAAAATTACGTGTAAAGCATCTATATATTTTAGCGCGAATTTCTATTCGGAAATGAGCTGATCGCAATCGCACTTTTAAAAGCTTTCAATATTTATGCAAACAAAAAAAAACGGATTCTGGACCATAGTGCAGCGGCCAAACTCCATATAAAAAAAACGGTGTCGAAAAAGGAAGAAGAAGAACTTTTAGCCTTGTCGTTTTTTCCGGTACTCTGACGACGAAAATGAAGCCTGCGAAAATTGAATGGCGTTGCCAGATCAAGATAGCAAACAGCTGATATCACGCTGTCCACATAATTCATTTGATTTATTTAGACACCCCTAATGGAGGGAAAGTTGAAGGAAAAAAGTGGCATTGATAGGGGATGTCAAGGGGAAGCACATAATATGGAATTTAACCCACAAAGGACATTTTAATGCCATATCTATTAATATTTTTAATGTTTATTTTGAATATTTGTTTACAAACAGCTGTCCGTGTGACCAAAGAAAATCCTTAAACGCTATAAAAAGTTTTCGTGGCGTTTCAGGCTTTTCTTTAATTTTTTTGGTCACACTAGCTCGGTAACGAATTAAACAGCGATTCCGCTGTCTTAATTTAGAACAAACGGTCTCTCTCTCATGTAAAATGTAAACAAAGTTGGCGAGGAACAATTAGGAATTGAAATTTAAAATGTGGCGGCAGACCTACAAACATGCCCAAAATAGTTGTTGGTGTTATTCTGTATATTCTTGCCCCAAAATGTCCCCAATTGTTACTATTTAATATAAACCGCATACCTCTGCCATATTTTACAGATATTGGATGCCTATACCGCCTATACACACTCGTCGAATTTGCTCTTTGTTAAAGAAAAATCATTAGAGAAACTAAAATTCCTTGTCATCTAATTCATATAAATTTAGTGCGGATAAATTCTGACGCAATCTGTGGTTTTGCTGTTGTTAAACAGCAGAAATAGTTAATATACTATTAATTTTACTGTCACATCATGAGCCACAGCTGAACGGATGCAGATGCACTTTGACGCAGCTCTGTGGGAACACGAGTTTCGCTTATTTTTTAAAATCCCAACCGCTCCTAACAAATGCGCTGAGTGGGAAGACAGTATAAGCTGATTTGTTTATGTTTTGGATGAGCCACTGTTTAATCAGCTGTTTTCGCATGGTGGATAGTTATATTCTGCAAATATCGATGATCTATTCTTATGCTGGCCGATATATTCATTCCTTCCTGAAAAATCCCCCTTTCCTATTAATAGCCGATGTAATTTATTCCTTATTTAACTATGGATTGCATATTTATACCCTTACAGGGTATTATAATTTCAATCAGAAGTTTACAACGCAGTGAAGGAGACGTTTCCGACCCTATAAAGTTTATATATTCTTGATCAACATTCTAATATGGCCATTTTATATTATTTCAGAATTTCGGTAAAAATATTATGAAAATAAATCAATAAATTTTTTGAAAATCGGACGACTATATCATATAGCTGCCATAGGAACGATCGGGAAATTAATAGGAAAAAAAACTATAACTTTGTTGTTCGTTATTATTCTAGAATTTTGGTATAAATTTCATAAAAATCGGAAAACTATATCATATAGCTGCCATAGAAACGATCGGTAGATGTAGAGAAAATGTAAAGCTAAGAATGCAAAACTGTAACTGTCAAACTGTAAACATAATAAGTATGGGTAAAATGTAATGAAATAATATCTGTTAGGGTATACAAACTTCGGCGTGCCGAAGTTAGCTTCCTTTCTTGTTTTGAATCAAATTGTAAATTTCAATACATACCAACTTAAACTGGATAAAAAAAACTTCGTAAATCCGTACTAAATAACATTCACACCGTCTAGGTTGAAGTCGCATCCATTTTTATCGTCAATTCTGCAATTTAAATTATTAATTGAATGCAAATAACTTCCACTTACCTTATAATAATTAAACAAAACACTTGTGAATGCAACATCAGTCAACTCAAAATGCAAAGAGAATAAGAAGACATAACCGAAGACCAAAAATTCTCGCGCGTGTCAGGGTATAGCCGAAGAGGCAATGCCATGTAATTAGATTCACAAAGGGCTGATCATCAATCATGAACATTTCGTACATACGTAAAAATTAACTAAATATAATCTTAAATATTTTGAAATAATCTTACTTATTTTAAAAAGGTCATTCTGACGTCGGTGCAATACTCTTTGTTTTTGACACCAATTTTCTTTCCTCCCTTCCTTCCATCTCATCTCTCTCTAATTTACGAACTCTCGCAACCACTGCTCCGAACGGAGATCGAAAACAATAACAAATACGAAGGTCGAACTTCGTGAAGCCCTCGGCAGTAGCCGAGCGTAGGTAGAATTTGTTTCGGCTATTTTGTTTCGAACTTGTTTGTTTTTCGAACATGCCGCGAGGAATCGGACGGGCAAAGAATTTTGGAACTAAAGGGTAGTCACAAGCTGTCGCTGTATGAGTACAAGAAAGAAGCTGGCTCTAAAAAGTTATCTTATAGGGTCTTCCCACACACCGTCAAAGCACATTCACCGTCCGTTGAACAAACGGTCCATAAGGTTTTGCCGTTCCGAATTTTCCAAAATGGACCGCCGTTAGAACACATTAAAATCTAACCACGTTTTGTTTGGCGATAGTTAGGCGATAGTTTTTCGGTGCAACTCTGAAAATTTGACCATAACTACGAAAGTGTATACACACTTGGCGAGGAACAAATGAGACATGGAATTTAAAATGTGGCGCCAAAGCTACAAGCATGCCCAAAATAGTTGTTGGCGTTTTTTCTGTATATTCTTGCCCCAATATGTGCCCAATTGTTACTATTTAATATAAACCGCCTACCTCTACCTTATTTTAAAGATTTTGGATGCCTATACCACCTATAGACACTCTTCGGTGAATTTGCTCTTTGTTAGAGAAAAATCATTAGAAAAACTAAAATTCCTTGTCATTTAATTCATTTAAATTTATTGCGGATAAATTCTGACGCAATCTGTGCCTTTTGCTGTTGTACAACAGCCAATATAGTTGGTAAATGCTCCATTTCAAATTTGCAACTGCCAATTCGACAGCCTTTGTTTACGTTTTCAT